GTGCTTTTTTCTTGGTGGCATGAAGTTCTTCTCCTCTCTGTTGACTTCTCTCTTTTATATCTCAGAAGAGATTGGGACAAGACACAATCTAATCCTGTAGATCAAGTCCTGCCTGATTAGACAACTGCCTCTAATCCTGCCTCATTAACATTATACAGGTTAGGATTTACAACACATAGGATAATCACATCAAATCAAAAAATGATAGACAACCACACAGTACTGACAATTATGGCCTAGCCAAGTTGACACACATTTTTGGGGGACACAATTCAATCCATAACTGTCTACCTTTTGCCCCCTCAAAATTCATGTCCTTACCACATATAGAACACATTCACCCCATCATATCATAGCAAAAGCCATCATATCATAGCAAAAGTCTTAATTGAACTCCAAGACCAAAATCCAAAAATTCCTCTTCATCTGTGAAATCTAGAATACAAGTTATCTGCTTTCAAAGTAGAATGGTGGAACAGGCACAAGGTAGATGTTCCCATTACAAACGGGAGAAATTGGAGGGAAAGAAAGGATAACAGGCACCAAGCAAGTCAGCAGAACACATTACATTAGCTCTCTAGGCTTGAAAATAAACCTCTATCCTCTAATACCACTTAGGCAATGGCCCTGCCCTCCAGACTCTAGGTATTGGCCACACTCTCCTGATTCTGGGTGGCGGTCCCTCGGTCTTGGGCTTCAGCTTCACCTTCCAGGCCCACTGGAACAGCAACTCTACTCCCTTGAAATTTGGGCAGCCCCATTCTCCTAGTCCATTTGAGTAGTGACTCCACCCTTTGAGACCCCAGAGGTTGTCACCCTTCCCTTTGAGACTGAGGCAGCTCTGCTTCCTGTGTTCCTTGTCTCTTCAGCTTCTGCTTCCTGGTTCCTTTGCCTCTCAGCCTCACCACCTGTGCCTGCCCTGCTGAAGCAAGTGTTCCAAAGCTCTGTAGCTCCACCAGTAAGTGTCTGGAGGTACCCAACTCCGCCAGTAAACTTCAGCCAGAGGGTACTCAGCTCTCTCGCTCCCTGGGTCGGCTCTAGCGCCGTCTCATGCTGGTCTCCTCATTCTGCTGCTGCTTCTTACCGTTTGCACCATCTCCAGTGTAACAGCTCTCCTCATTTCCTTCTGAGTCCTCACCAGAATTGTCTTCAATGTCCATAATTTCATCAACATCCTCTTCAAGGCAATCTAGGCTTTTACTGTTAGGCACTTTAAATCTCTTCCGGCCTCTATCCATTCAGTTTCAAAACAGCTTCCACATTTTATGTATCTGTTAGAGCAGCACCTCACTCTTGGTACCAAATTCTATCTTAGTCATCTAGTGCTGCTGTAACAGAAATACCACAAGCAGATGGCTTTAACAAAGAGAAATTTATTCTCTCACAGTTTAAGGGGCTAGAAGTACAAATTGAAGGTGTCAGCTCTAGGGGAAGGCTTTCTCTCTCTGTTAGTTCTGGGGAAAGGTCCTTGTCATCAATCTTCCCTTGGTCTAGGAGTTTCTTGGCACAGGAACCTCAGGTCCAAAGGACACGCTCTACTCCTGGCGTTGCTTTCTTGGTGGTATGAGGTCCCCCGTCTCTCTACTCACTTCTCTCTTTTATATCTCAAAAGAGATTGTGTTAAAATATAACCTAATCTTGTAGATTGAGTCCTGCCTCATTAACATAACTGCCTCCAATCCTGCCTCATTAACATCACAGGGCGTCCTCACCCCCCTCCCCCTCCTTCCTGTCTCTTTTCGGATCTGTTAGAGCTGCAACAATGGGCTCAAACATAGCAATGATTGTGAGGATGGCACAGGACCAAGCAGTGTTTCCTTCCATTGTACACGGAGTCACTATGAGTTTGAACCGACTCTATGGCAATGGGTAAGTAGGGTTACCGTGAGTTGGAATTGACTTGTTGGCAACGGATTTGGTTTTGGTTTTTAGAACTTGAAGCGGTAATTGTACCTAATTTAAACAATGCTCTTTTCCAACCTGCAATGAGGTTTGGACCTCAGACAAGTTTCTGGGTGTCAGACTGGCTTCTGAGGAAAGACCCACCAGTGGGATTTGTGAGAAAGCCTTTTATTTCCCCCAAATGAGTGCAAGTGGCGCGCAGCTTGGGAGGACTTGAGGGAAGAAGGAACTCAGCAGCACGACTGGCCCGTGAGCTGGCATCTGCCAGTCATATTTGCAGTGAGTTGCTAGGGGCAGAACATGTCTTCCTGGCTCCCTCTCACAGCCTGGGGCTGGGGCCACTTCTTTGATGTGGGGATGGTGTAAACCGCTGTAGGGGGCGTGCATGCCAGGTGCCTGCGCGGAGGCGGGATACCTGGAGGCCCCAGGCAGAGGCGCATCTGTGCAGGAAGGACTTGCTAGCACTGTCTGCTTTTGTCTGCCCAGGTGGCAGCCCCATCGAGGCCTTTCAAGTCTGCCCCTCAGGCTCCTCCCCGCAGGAATGCCAGGTTTATTACAGGTTCACTCACTGCTCGGTTTTGATCCCCTGGTTTTTGTGTTGGATCTAGTATGTCTGCCGGCTTCTGGCTGATTCCAGCACAAAGTGGTACAGAAGGGTCTGTTCTCCCCAGCACAGCGATTTATCTCAAAGAGCCAGTGTGAGAGACAAACGGGCCCAAAAGGTCCTACTCCCAGGTGAGAGGCACCTCGGGCAGACAAGCCTGGCTGGCGTCATGGACTCGCCCACTGGCTTCATGGGCCTTTTGTTTGCTCGTTACTGAGGAGGATAAATGAGAGCCTGCTGTGCCAGCTCCCAGCTGGAGGGGCAAATTCCACCAGCAAAAAAGCCCCCCCAAAATTCTGACATACTTCTAACCAGACCTTGGGATACTTCATGTACTAGTGGTTATGTACGTGAGTTTGGAGTCCAGGTGTGCCCCCTGCTCTGTCACTGAAAAAAAAAAAAAAAAAAGCTGTCGAGTTGATTCTGATTCTGATTCACAAGGACCCTATAGTACAGAGTAGAACTGCCCCATAGGGTTTCCAAGGCTGTAATCTTTACGCAAGCAGCCTACTACATCTTTCTCCTGTGGAGCGGCTGGTGAGTTCGAACTACCCACCTCTGACTGGCAGTCGAGCGCTTAACCACTGCACCACCAGGGCTGTTTTCTCTGTAACTTTAGGGGGTGCAATCCTGCTCGAATTGCTCAACCTCTCCAAGCCTCAGTGCCTTCTTCTGTGAAGTAGGGGTGATCATTTTTACCTCTTAAGGTTGTGGCATATTTTAAGTGCATTTCTGAATTATTTAAGTGGTCACTTGTTTCTCCTCAGCTCCCCCACCTTAGACTGTGATCCGTTATTGACGATGGGAAACCAGTTCTCATTTTCAGAACTATCAAATAACTGGGAGCTAGGGGAACAAAACAGTTCTCTGGAGCGGGACTGGAGACAGGTGGTTCTTTGGGGGCACGGTTCCAGGTCCCTGTCTGTCTGCGCAGGACCAGGCCCCCACAGGCCCCCACAGGCCCTGATGCCACCCAGCCCAGAGACGAGCCCGTTCCAGTCTCTCCCACTCTCCTCTCTCAAGGACATCACCCCCCAAAGCCAGGAATCTTTCCCTGGGGCTTCAGAATTCCTACCTCTGCCCCTCCACTCTAGAAGGCTTGGAGAAAGTGGGGGTTAGGCACACAGCTCCTCAAGCCTGCAGTGAGAGGACAGGGTACAACGGTAGCGATGCTAGATTAATAATAATAAAAAAAGGACCCCAGTTAAACATGAATTTCTGTTAAACAATTACTATTATTAATATTTTTAGTAAAAGTATGTCCCAAACAAAATATTTGTTGTTTATCTTCAATTCCAGTTTAACTGGGTGTCCTGTGTTTAATTTGCTAAATCTGGTAGCCCTACAAAGTGGTCGAGCTGGGATTTTAACTCAGGCCTGCCTAATCTGTGTGGACTTCACTTTCTCCTCTCCCACAAAATTGGGGTGATAACATTAGGAACTCCCTGGGGTTGCTGTGAGAATTGGAAGAGATCTGCTGTGTGAAATGGATTTTGTCGGCCTTCAACCACTATGTAAACATTAATACCGAATCTAGAGCCTAGTTGCCAGGTGCAGTCAAGTCAGTTCTGTCTCAAATGGACCCTATATACAACAGAACAAAACACTGCCTGGTCCTGCACCATCCTCACAATGGTTGCTATGTTTGAGCCCATTGTTGCGAGCACTGGGTCAAATCCATCTCCTTGAGGGCCCTCCTTTTTTGCTTACCTTCTACTTTACCAAGCATAATGTCCTTCTCCAAGGACTGGTCCCTCCGGATAGCATGTCCAAAGTACTTGAGACAAAGTTTGGCCAACCTCGCTTCTAAGGAGCATTCTGGCTGTACTTCTTCCAAGACAGATTTGTTCATTCTTTTGGCAGTCCATGGTATATTCAATATTCTTTGCCAATACCACAATTCAAAAGCATCAATTCTTCTGTCTTCCTTATTCATTGTCCAGCTCTTCCACGCATATGAGGCGATTGAAAATACCATGGATTGAGTCAGGCACACCTTAGTCCTCAAAGTGAGATCTTTGCGTTTTATCACTTTGAAGAGGTCTTTTGCAGCAGATATGCTCAATGCATAATTCTCTGTTTTAATGAAAAATCGCTGGTGCTACTTTACCTAAATAAGCAAGAAGAGAAAATAAATAAAATCATCTCAAGGAATTTTGGGTCCAGGATCCCAAACAAGCCGCATAAACATCTCAGCCCTGCACATTCAGATGCTTACCACACCGAGCATGGGACCACACCTGAGAGAGATGTGCGAGCATGGGACCACACCTGAGAGAGATGTGCGAGCATGGGACCACACCTGAGAGAGATGTGCGCTTGCGCACTCCATTCACCCCCCCGGAGCTGCTATGCGCATGCGTTCTCCCGGCTCCGCCTCCCGGGGTGCGGTGTGCGCAGGCGCCGGCCCAGCTCGAAAGCGCGGGAAAGGCTCGCCTCCCTGTGTGCCGGGCGCTTCGGGCTGTGGGAGGATTTCGCCCCGCTGTCGGCCTTCATGGCTTTCGCCCCCATGGGGCCTGACGCCTCGTTTTTCGAAGTTTTGGACCAGCACAGGGCTTTCCTGCTGGCTGACCTGAGGAGAGGCGGTGAGGAGTCCCTTCGCGGGGGGACCCGCCCCGCCTCGAGGTATAAGAGAGCGAGAATGTTCCACGGAGGACGTGGATTGAGGAGGAGGATGTGCAAAACAGAGAGATTGGGGCGCCCCTTTCGTACCGCGATCCCGTCGCTCGGACCTGAGGGAAACAAGGCTGCCTCACTGGCGTGCAGGCCACCAGGGGGGGCCCTCTTGGGCCAGCCCTGAACCCCCAGAAAGGCCCTTCCTTAGCCCTCCTGCCACCTTTCTGCTTTAACTGTTCTTTCCAACACCAAAGCCTGGTCATGGCCCTCCTTGTGTCTTCTAGAATGTTCCTCTCCTAGAATGCTCTCCTTCTAGAATGTTCTAGGAGCATCCCTGCCACCAGGCTCTCAGATTTCTTCAGACATTTTTAACTTAAAAAGATTTTTAACTTCAAAAGATTTTGATTTTTTTTTTTAATTTTTAAAGAGGTGAGGGAAAATGAATGTTGTGAGTTTGCACCCAGTAAGCAATGGTTTTGTCAAAATGGCCAGAATTTCAACATACGTATTTTAAGTAATTTATAATACGACAACGGTTCTCTTGACATGTACACGGAAGTGAAGACAACGTACAGATTTTAAATGATTTATTTAATATTAATTACAGAGCTTCTCCAACTACTGAAATTGGCATTAACTACATACCGTGCTATGTTATTGGTTTCTTTAACTTAAAATGCTCAGTTGTTTTGCTCCCTTTTACCTGCTTTTCTGGCTTATCAGCAAACTTTTTTTTTGTAAGTCCAAGCCAACTGCCAAAAAACGAAACAAAAACACTCATAAGCAAACAAATTTTTAACAAAAGTATTTAGTTTGAGGGAGAACTTGAGAGGGTGAGGGAAAGGAGGAAGTGGGGGAGTCCCTTGTTTACATTTGAGATGTAAATTAATCCGATTGTATCTTAAGGTTGGTTACAGTATTGCTGAGCAACATTTTTGCAAACGGGAAAAACTAATATTTGAGACAGTTTTTACCTTTCATTGTTAGAAAATATTGGTTTTTAAATACATGCTTTTTCTGTGAAAGCTTTGGCGTTGCCACGAAAATTAAAACACTACATTTTACCCATTTTCCAGATTTAATTTGATTTCCATTCCTAGTCAATATTCTATTTGTTTATAACACAACATTTTTGAAAACTGATGGTTTGTGAAATTAAACGTCAGCTGATAGAAACCTGGGCTCAGTCTTAATATTGCTGTAAAATGACGTAATAGTTGCCAAGTCAACCATTTGGTACAGGAATCACGATGTATTCTTTTCATGGTAATGATTAAACTTTTCCCCCCCTTCTGTATCACTAAAATCCAAAAGAGTTGATTCAAGGCATAGATCAACTAGGGTAATGTGCTACAGGAAGTGTTTCTTTTGGAATAGTTTTGCACTGTATTTTTGAGGGAAGAAAATCAAGTTTAAAGCCAATATTCCATCATTTGTAATTAAAACATTTATCAGTAGAATCTCAAGCCAACAAGTTTGTATCTAAATTCAGCTACTAAAGTAGGTTAATATAAAAAGTAGGTAAAATGCATTTACAAATTATATTGTCTCTTTAAAAGAAACTATGACTCCAACTGGTGATTATTTGAGAATTACATAAAATTATAAGCAAATGAATTTTTTTCCTAAGTAATCGCTATAAATGTAGTTGTTGTTTTAATGCCGTACGATGTTAAGATGTAGCGGGAGAGATCATTATTGACATGGATTACCTGATTTTAAAAAACAGCCAATGAAAGGAAAAGTTACAGTGTTGGTCTGGGGATATGTCACATATTGTAAAGGCCTAATTTATAATTAAGATCGAATCATAGTGTGTTTATTATTTCAGTTCTGAGGTTCTTGCAGCTATTGAAAATATTATCCAAGACATAATTGCAAGCTTGGCAAGAAAGGAAGCACCTGCATTCACTATAGACAACAGATCCAGCTGGGAAAATATAAAGTGGGTATTTTGCATTTTTATTTTTAAATGCAGTATCTATATCGTTATTTGAATTGATTTGAATCAGAGTTCTATTTATTTTATTGCCTTTACCATGCCAAAAAGAAGGAAATTTACAAAATATATTCCACACAGAAAGGTTATGTAAACTAGAAGTAGGTGTGAAAGATAAGGCAAAGAACAAACAATGCTGTTGTTGTTGGGTGCCGTAGTTTCTGACTCATAGTGACACCATGTGGCAGAGTAGGGTTTTCTTGGCTGTAATCTTTAGGGAAGCGGATCTCCAGGTCTTTCTTCCACGGAGCCTCTGGGTGGGTTCAAACCACCAACCTTCGGTTATCAGCTGAGCACTGAACCATTGCACCACTAGGGCTAATAATAATAATAATAATGCTAGGGACATAAAATGGAGCACCAAAAGAGGTTAGAATTCAAAATGCGTATGATGAAGCCTTCTAGTCTTGCTATAAATAGATCCCAGACTTGGATCTAAGCTTTCATAGCACTCAGTGGAGGAAATGTGATCAGTGGAAGTCTCATTAACAAGACACTGCAAAAGCAAACTATTTGCCTAGAGGAACTACAACCAATACCCAAGACCAAAATAAATGTATCCTGAACATAGCAGCACATTTCAAAGGCTCTTTCTCTTGTCAGATCTCCTCTCTCTGCCGAGTCATGTGTCTAAGAAGAGTAAAATCAGCAAAAGGCTTTATCAAAGTCCTTTAGACTAGTTATATAGTTTTCTTCAGATTTTCAGCCTATAGAATCTTCTCTACTAAATAATAAAAAACACTGTAAGGATGGCTCTCATGCTTTGTAATAGCCACAGAAACAGAGTAAAAGTAGTTTGAGACTCCTTAGTCACTAAGGAAGGTCCCTCCGTGGGGCAAACTGTTTGCACTACTAACCTAAAGGTTGGAGGTTTGAGCCCACCTAGTGGTGCCATGAACGAAAGGCCTAGCAATCTGTTTCCATGAAGATTACAGCCAAGAAAACCCTATGGAGCAGTTCTACTCTGTAATATATGGGGTTGCCATGAGTCGGGAATCAACTTGACAGCAATGGTTTAGTCGCTAAATATTCCTTTATAATCAATATAATTAATGTAAGCTGTGTAGTTTTGAATCATATTTTGCGTACTATTTTATTGTGTTTTCAGTGAAAATTAGGTTCCCATTTGATACTTTCTACAAAAATTGTCCAATGACGTTAGTTACATTTTTCACAATGTACCAACATTCTCTTGAATCGCATTCTGGTGGTTCCATTTCCAGTACTCTAGTTTCCCTGTCCCCTTATCTTCTCGTCTTTGCTTTAGAGTCATTGTTGACATTTTGGTATCATATAGTGGTTTTTTAATGGAGCACCATACTCATGGGTAATATCCTTTATTTTGTGTGCCTGTCTGTTATTTCCCTAAATGGTGACCTCAGGGGATAGTTTTGGTTCAAGGTTTAAAGAGTATCTCAGGACGATAGTCTAAGGGAGTCCTCTAGTCGCAACTTGTCCAGTAAGTCTGGACTTTTTTAAGAATTTGAGTTCTGTGTTTTCTCTCATTTTATCAGGGTCCATCTATTGTGGCCCTGATCAAAATGGTCGGTAGTGGTAGCTGGGCACCATCTAGTTCATTTGCATAATATTTTGAAAGATGGATTTTTCATCCAGTCTTCAAGCAGTGGATATCTGGCCTCTTTGCCTGGTGCATTCTGCGGCCTTTAGGACAGGGTTAGCAGTTCAATTTAACAATCTAATATAAATTATTTTATTTAATGTAACTCAGTGTTAAATCAGGATTATAATGTTTCAAAACTAACAATTATTAAAATGCTAATAAAAATGTGAAATATTTGAAAACATTTTACATACACTAAGTGTCTTCCCAGGAAAGACATTATGTGTATACATATATATCACAATAAGAGGTGTTTAGTTCATTTACTTTAAAGACTTTCTCATAGTGCCTCTGAGTCACAGAGCTAATTACCACCTGTAATGATCTAAGTTTACAAAAAAGTTATGCCAAAGCTTCAGTGAGTTCATTGAGAGGAGATGTGTAACTTAAATAATGTGAAGAAGAGGACATTAAGTACATATTGTTTGATGTTCAGAATTTTTTTTCCATCTTACTCCCTTGTTTTAAATAAAATGCCAGGTTTGAAGATTCTGTGGGTCTTCAGATGGTATCTCATCGTACCACAAGAAAAATCAAAAGTGATTCACCAAAATCAGTTCAAAATTTCGGTAAATTTTTCATGGCTTTTAGTGATAAAGAATAAATAAATATATTTGACTCCCTTCTAACTTTTAGTTGTTCCTAGTTAAATAATGTTACTTGTTCTTTAATAGACCTCTCTTGTACTTGAGATAAATGTCTAGAATTTGTTGTCAACAACCATGGAAGTAGATTATCATTCCAAAATAAATGTATGTGTCAAGGTATAGGGTTCAGTGGGAAATTATTCTCTCAGTTTAGCTGTTCGTGGAGAGATTCATTTTATTGTTACTTCAGGCAGCTATTACTCTGTACTTAACCCTCCTATTTTGGAAAGACAAAATGTATAGAAAGTAACTGAGGACAGTTAATAACCCTTATTTTTTTTTTTAATTTCATATTTTTTTAAAATTTAAAATGAATACCATTGTAGTTTCTGTTAGCAGTATCTTTTTAATTCTTGAAATAATGACGAGTAACTTGTTTATCACATCTTTTTCCAGCTCTAGTTCTTAAAATACTGTCCATGATTTATAAATTAGTACAAAGCAACACTTATGCAACCAAAAGGTAAATATATTGTTCTGGCAAATTACTCTTTACAATGCAATGTGAGATTTAGTTAGATTAACTTTTATTATATGCTTTGAAAAATTGCATAAGACTAGACTCTGGGTAATAAATTACTTTCTTCATATGTTATGTTTAGTCTAGTTAACATTTTCTTCAAATAAGACCCCACTATTTGTCATATTCAAAGAGAATATCGTTAATTAAAAAGGTATTTTTAAAATTTTTATAGAGACATATATTACACTGACAGCCAACTCTTTGGTAACCAGACTGTTGTGGACAATATAATCAACGACATTTCTTGTCTGTTAAAAGTGCCAAGGAGGAGTCTACATATAGTAAGTAGCACGGAGTACAAATCAGCTGATTTTAAAGCAAAATGTTTGTATTAAAATTGTAATCAAAATAAAAATTTTAATCTGTGCCTTCTTTTGATATTTTTTGATACTATATTATCCTCACTGTGAACTTAAAGATTATCTGTGTTCAATATATGCCCTTTGGATGAACTGAAACAGACGAATTGCCAAATATTCTCAATTCCTAAATTCCTTACATGTTTTCTGTTTTATTTCTTAAATTCCAGTCTGCGTTAAAACATGTACTTTTGCAGGTGAACATGAGGAATGACTTAAAAAACCAAAGAAACCAAACCGATTGCCATCGAGTCGACTCCGACTCATAGCAACCCTATAGGACAGAGTAGGACTGCCCCACAGGGTTTCCAAGGAGCGGCTGGGAGATGACTTAGTAGCATAAAATATATTAGTGAAAAAGTTTTCAAATGTGTCTTTTTTTTTTTCTTCCAGTTATCTACATCAAAAGGTTTAATTGCTGGCAATTTAAGCTACATTGAGGAAGATGGTACCAGAGTGAACTGTACTGGCTGCTCAACAGTAAGCCTCTCGGATGCTCTCACAGGCTGTTTTAACTCCCTGTCAGACCCTTCGTTCCTAAAGTGCATTCTAGTTCCTGCTTTGTTATGTAGTTTAGAGCTTAAGATTTGTAAAATAAACTTGAAGTATGAATAAGTATATGCTTTACGTGGTTGAGAGCTACGGCTGCTAACCAAAATGTTGGCCGTTCAAATCCACCAGGCGCTTCTTGGAAACCCTATGGGGCAGTTCTACTCTGTCCTATAGGGTCGCTATGAGTCGGAATCGACTTGATGGCAATGGATTTGGTTTGGTTTTTGGTTTTACAGGCTGTACATTACATAGTTTCAAAATATGCCAATTGGCAAATGTCATGTTGAATTAAACATATGTATACATTCCTTCAAAAAAATGCAGTGTTGTATTCGGGTAGAGTGTGACTTCACCATTATAGCGTGGTTATTTCTGTGAGCTTCCTAAAACTTTCCTGATTCTGAAATTAATATATTTAATGCTAAATTATTTGGTTGGCTTTCGTATATAGCAAGACTATAGTACTAAACTAGCAGAGCTGTTTGGAAAAGGGCCACGTTACCAGTTGGGAAAAGAGGAAGGTGATGCTTAGGAGATCCTGCACAAGAAAGCCGTGCTCGCCTTGGTCCATCAGTTTCTGCTTTTTGAACCTCATACCTACAGAGCTTCCTAGAGGCTCTCGCCTGCTGGGAAGTAATTTGGGCCGTGTGTCTTACTGAGCGGAAATCTGTTTCCTCCTATGTTCTTACTGAGGACTAAATCTCTGATGGTAGAAAATGAAAAGATAGATTTCTGTGATAGATTATAAAGTGTGGCTATACTTACTTTTTATTAAAAAGAAATAACTTTTGCATTTTGTTAATTTAGGCTGTTGCTGTGCCATCTAATATTCAAGGACTTCGAAGTATCCTTTGAGTGGGAAAACGAAACTTTTAGAATGAGTGTTCATTTGTTCCTTTGATAAACCAAATCTTCATTATGTGCATAACACAAGTTAGACCCTCTAGTGTCAAACTAAACACGCCATGGTTCCTACTCTTAGGGGCTTACCACCTAGTGAGGAAGACAGCTAAAAGCGTGACTAGATATCTGTTTTATATATTTAAAGGTAAAAGGAAAATGTATTTATAGCTGCTTTTTAATTGACCTTAGTAGCGCCGTTCTTTCAGTTGGTGGGTACATTTAAATACTATCACCTTCAAGAGCCCATGTGCTTCAGCCTTAACTTCACAGATTTAATTACAGATGCAAAATTTCTATTAATTGTGGAAAAAGATGCGACATTTCAGCGTCTCCTAGATGATAACTTCTGCAGCAAAATGTCTCCGTGCATCATGGTTACGGTATATTGTCTACCTTTACTACAATCCAAAGACTAACATGTTCTACTCTGGTGATTGGTAAGATGGGTTTATAACATTATCTCCACAGCTTGGACAACATTCTCTTATCAATATGATGCACCCCTCGGGGTCATAGAACAAGAATTTTCAAGATGTTCATTTAAACATCCTCAAGTCTAACTAAAATCAAGTCGGTGGCCTGATTCTTAAATACCTCAAAAGAGAGCTTCTCAGACCATGGTGAGCTTGGGGTCCCCTCGCCCCGTTCCGAACGGGGGTGCTTGTTCCCACGTGATATGGTAACACTGGGGCTTTGGGCAGGTTGAGTTAGCAAGCACTGTGCCTGGTTCTTCCTCACAGAGTTTGTGTACCAGGTAATTCTGTTCATTCAATCAAAAGGAGCTGGCTTTTTTTTTTTTTTCTTACATCGATGTGCAAAGTATAGCAAAGAACACCGAAGTGTAAGTAATGGTTCCTGAGGTTGAGATAACACCACCCAGGGAGCTACAGGCGTAAGTTAGTAATGTGCTTTAAATTACTTTGCTACATAATTCTTGGTTTAATGACTTTATAATATTATTCCATCATTTAGGGTTTATTAAACCCTAAATGTAACCAGGTACTCTTCTAAGCGCTTTATGATTATTAAATAACTTAATTCCAGTAATAACCTTATGAGGGGTTACTGGTATCTGCATTTTTGTTGTTGTTGTTGTTAGGTGCCATCGATTCGATTTCAACTCATATCGACCCCATGTGAAGAGTAGAACTGCCCCATAGGGTTTTCTAAGCTATCATCTTTATGGCAGCAGATCACCCGGTCTTTCTCCCTCGGAGCCGCTGGATAGATTCAAACAGCCAATCTTTCAGTTAGCCGCCAAGCACTTAACTGTTGCACCATCAGGACTCCTGATGTGCATTTTACAGATGAAGAAACACAGAAAGGTTATGCTACTATTTCAGGTTTATGCTGCTAAGAATTGTCAGCTGCATGTCATCACCGTGCTATGCTGCCTCTCCATGTTCCCAATGTTAGATATTTTTGTAATATTTTGGTATTTGCAGTAATGTTAGGTAATATTGCAATAAATATCTTTAAGCGTATGGGATTTTGTATTATTTTATTTCTGTTTCTGCTGAAATAGTTCCTTAGGATCACTGCCTAGGAGTGGGATAACTGAGTCAAAGGTATGAATGCGTGCGGGCTCATATCCCTGTTGTATATGCGGTATGTTTCCTCACAGCCAACACCACCCCTTCACCACCTGAAATTCAGGTGGGGGATCGAACTTCTAGATTATTAATAAAATAAAGATGGAGTTTAGTTGATTTCATTCCACTGAGATTAAATATATGATTCCAATCTTGCTTTTAGGGAAAGGGAGTGCCTGACCTGAACACGAGACTTTTAGTCAAGAAGCTGTGGGATCTGTTCCACATTCCTGTTTTCGCTCTTGTAGATGCTGACCCACACGGTAATTTATCATAGGACTATTTGAGAGAAGAGCCAGAATTCAATCATATTTGTAGTTGTGTTTTTTTGCTCTCAGAACACTTCTCACAAAATATTTAAAAGGCTATTATTATCATATAAAAATTCAGGATTATAATCATTTGAGGAAATTTATTGCTCTTTTATTTTTTGCCATATTAGACTGAGAACTATACACTTTTCATTTATAATGTCCTTGAAAATAAAAGTTGCAGATGTCAGATAAAATCTGAGAAGGCAAATGATCAAACTTGTAATATGCAAGAAGACTAATTTCAAAGTTGGCTTTCTTTTAACAGGCATAGAAATAATGTGCATCTATAAGTATGGATCTATGGTAAGTACAGCAAGATATTTTTCCTTGTTCTACTATTTAGATACTTTCTGTTCCTTAGTGCAGTTTCTGCACTGGCTGTCCTTATCACTCCCTAGTAACCTCAGGGCCCCAAAATGTCCCAGGGGAGCCAGTATCCTAGTCTAGGGCCAATTCACATTTCAGTGGTTGTAATTCCAGTCTCCAGCATGGCGGATACAATCTCGGATGGCAGGTAGGATTAGCTGTGGGGCCCAGGGTAACAACAACGTAGTCTGATTGACAAACATACTCTGAGTGTTACCTTCTTCTTGAAGAAGAATGGGGCATCAGGATTGGAGGAAGGCTCATTAACAACCTGCATTATGCAGATGACACAACCTTGCTTGCTGAAAGTGAAGAGGACTTGAAGCACTTACTGATGAAGATCAAAGATCACAGCCTTCAGTATAGATTACACCTCAAAATAAAGAAACCAAAAATCCTCACAACTGGACCTATAAGCCACATCATAATAAAAGGAGAAAAGATTGAAGTTGTCAAGGATTTCATTTTACTTGGATTCACAATCAACGCCCACAGAAGCAGCAGTCAAGAAATCAAAAGATTTGCATTGGGCAAATCTGCTGCAAAAGACCTCTTTAAAGTGTTAAAAAGCAAAGAGTCACCTGGAAGACTAAGGTGCATCTGATCCAAGCCATGGTGTTTTCAATCGCCTCATATGCATGCGAAAGCTGGACAATGAATAAGGAAGACCAAAGAAGAATTGACACCCTTGAGTTATGGTGTTGGCGAAGAATACTGAATATACCATGGACTGCCAAAAGAAGGAACAAAGCTGCCTTGGAAGAGGTACACCCAGAATGCTCCTTAGAAGCAAGGATGGTGAGACTACATCTCATATATTTTGGACATGTTATCAGGAGGGACCAGTCCCTGGAGAAGGACATCATGCTTGGTAAAGTGGAGGGTCAGTGAAAAAGAGGAAGACCCTCAACGAGATGGATTGACACAGTGGTTGCAACAATGGGCTCAAGCAGAACGACGATTGTGAGGATGGCAGAGGACCGGGCAGTGTTTCATCCTGTTGTACGTAAGGTCTCTATGTTGGAACCAATCCCACGACACCTAACAACATAACAACAATGTTATCTATAGCCTTGAATTCTGACTTTGCCAATTGCCTTTCTCCTACCACAGGGAGAAATGTAAACGCCAACAAATTTCATCACCAGAGTCTGCAACTCACATACCTCAGTGGTTCTCAAAGTTTAGGCCGAGGCCCAGCAGCATTAGCATTACCTGGGAACTTGTTAGAAATGGAAACCTCAGCTCCCATCCAGACCTAGGGAACTGGAAATTCTAGGGGTGGGTCCCTCCAAGTGATTCTACGGCATGCTAGAGTTTGGGGACCACTGTTATAGCCCTGGTGGCGCAGTGGTTAAACTTTCAGCTGTTAACCAGAAGGTTGGCAGTTCGAATCCACCAGCTGGCAGTTTTACTCTGTCCTATAGGGTCACTGTGACTCGGAATCAACTTGACGGCAGCGGGTTTGTTTTGGTTATACAACTTAAGTGTCCCAAAGTGTCCGTGTATATGTTTATAGCTGATGAAAAGGATGGTGGAGCAAGGTGTTAAAATATGAATCACAAAGAATAATAATATACGCAGGTCAGGTAGGTTCATTTATAGTTTTGCTTTTTAGAAAATTAATACAGAAACATTATAGAGCAGTTTTAAGTGTCACTGAAAATCTGGTTTAGCAAAGCTCTCAGAGATTTTCTTCTGTGGACTCGGGAGACGTGAAGTTAGCTTTAGTACTTGTACTTCTTAACAAATAAAAGTATACTAGTTCTCTGCAATTTAGCCTTACCTAATATACTTTTACTCTTTATTTTAGTCTATGTCTTTTGAAGCCCATAATCTCACGGTTCCAGCAATTAGATGGCTTGGTCTTCTCCCTTCTGATATTAAAAGGTTAGATGGTTTAGCAGAACTAGGACATTTAAAATGATGATTCATTATACTACGTAATAGTAAGCCTAGAAAGTCACTACAAAGGCAAGCTCTTAGCGTTTTTTCCTTAGATTGTCCACTGTGAATCAGAATTATGTAATTATGAATTAAATTCATCAGTGTTTCTATTTCATTTACTAAGAAAACAACAAATAAAGTTGGTCAATTGAACTTTCAGGCAACAAAAAATTTCCGTTTTACTTTTTATGGTTAAAACGTTTTGTAAATTCTTTTATAATTAGAAAGTATATTACATTTAATCTAAGTAAATGGTAATTATTTGCTATTATATGTTCTATAGAAGGTATAATAAATCATCCTGCATATAAGTCAATTCTTTCATAGATTTAAAGTTTTAATTCCATAAAACAGATCTCATTTTAAGTTTACTTAAAGTTTGGGAGCGTAAACTTTGGCAAATCTAATATATATGTTCATTATAGAAAAAATATCATTAAGTAACAAGATAAAAATCACCTACAGATGAGTACTTTTAATGCTTTGTCTATATCCTTCTATTTTCTGTGCATAGCTATAATTTTTCACATTAATGTTATTTTGTGAGCTGCTTTTTTCACACAACACGATGTGATCACTTTCCCGTGTAAATAAACACATTTGTCTTCTGCGACCTCATTTAATGTCTTCTGTGACGGAGTTCTAGTTTGGGATGTCCTCATAGTCGGACATAGGTGGTTTCCAAATCCCTGTTCTCCCAGGTAGTGTTTGACGGATGCTTTTGTAACCAAATCTCTGCCCACATCTTTAATTAGTCCCTCAGGCTGAACTGCCAGAAGAATGGCTGGGTCAAAGGGTGTGCACATTTTTAAGACTTTGCCCTCAGAGAGGTTAACTATTTTGCTTCTTCACCAGAGTAAGAGCCCACCTGTCCCTCAGCATAGGGCATTATCACTTCTTTTTCATCTTTGATAATGTGATATTTTAAAGAAAAATGTTATCTAGCCGTACTAATTGGTTAATAAGAGTGAACTTAAAAATGTTTATTGGATTTCTTTAAGCAGTCAGCAAACCTTGGACACAGGCGCTTATTTCCTAAATATGGAATATGTACAGATTTTGGGTGATCGGCCTCCTCTTAAAAAACTAGAGCACAAGGGAAAATGTTTCATTTCGGATTTTTGAATATTTATGCCCTAGTGAATCAAAGCTTTGTTTAAGTTAGTGTATGTGCTGTGGTCAAAGCCCTGTGGGGGTAACGTATTCGTATGAAGACCACTTCTAACGCAGTCAGGACAAATGATCTGATCATTATGAAAGTAGGAGGCTTGGAGAAGCGCTAGCCATGTCTCATATCAACTCCATCAGTGCCCTCAAAAGCCACTGTATAGAAATATACAATCAAAGGAAAAACAATGTGGTAGCTGCATAAACATGACTTCAAGAGAAATCCCACAGGCCTCCCTTTCAATCAAATTGTCACCCCTGTCCGGGAGCTGCCACTGGCAAATGGTCATAATTATGGGGACATTGAAAAAGACTATGAAACTGGAGCTTCCCTTGGAAATCCGGGATTTGTGACTTCAAACAGTGGCCACACCATCAGTCCTGGACGTCTCCTGTGCTGTTTTAAAAACACATACCAAGATAAAATTACACTCTACTTTTTTTTAAATAATTTTTTCAAATTTAAAACTAGATACGTGTGTGCGCGTGCGCGTGTGTGTGTTTGAGAGAGAGAATTAAACAGGAATATTCAAACTTCCCTGGCCCAGAATTCTCAGTGAATTACAAAGAATCAAGTACTCAGTGGAACCTGAAATCTCTCAGTGAATCTCAGCCGCTGGTCAGGCACATTGGCGCTCCCTGCTCCAAATGTGGAGCTTAAAGGGCTCTGGGAGGCGTCCCTGCATCCACCCTTGGGCTGCCCTGGTGTTGATAGGCATGGTGTTGGTGGATTCTCAGTTTCTTAAAAGAGCACAAGCAACACAGGTGAAACATAAATGATCTTCTGCTTTTACTGATATTTTTTCTTCCATTTTTTCTTAGGTTAAATATACCTAAAAATACTTTAATTCCACTGACAAAACGGGACCAGATGAAACTTGACAGTATCCTGAAGAGACCTTATGTTACCTGCCAACCATTTTGGAGAAAAGAAGTATGTTTCTTTTAAAATTGAAATGTTGTAAGTTTAACTGCCTTTTTCTTTAGCAGTGGCTATTCGTATATTTTAAAAATAGCCTCCCTGAAATTTTATATAACCAACAACCAATGTTAGTGTTGTTTGGCAGTAAATAATTGTTAAAACTTTGACTCCTATGGATGCTAACAGGTAAGATTAGCAGAACGGAGCTAGCCCATTTTTATCCTCATATAACCATCTTCTATGGCTGTATCATCGGTCGGGAGTGGTAGGGGTGGGGGAGAAGAGAAAGAAATCATTGTAAAGAGCCCCAAACACTCCTAATTATTGAAGACACCCTTATGGGCATCCTCATTCCTGATATTTTTAGATACAGCGGCTCTAGAATACTCTGGTTGACCCTAAAGGCTACTGCCCATGATTCTGGAGAATAAAGTAAGTCTAGATGTACCAGTTTGTTGAATTGACAGAAATGCAGCCAAGAGCTCCGGTGTGACTATATTTTATCTTTTGTTGACAGATGGAAATAATGGCAGACTCTAAAATGAAGGCAGAAATCCAGGCTTTGACCTTCATATCATCTGATTATCTTTCCAAAGTGTACTTACCTAACAAACTAAAATTTGGTGGGTGGATATAAAAACACATCAGAAGAACCTGTGATTGCCAGAAGTTTTTCATTAGTTTTGTTTTAATTGGTAAACACTGTTGTGGAAGGAACATATATTTTTAATTCTTTAAAAGGTTAAATAATTTTTCACTAATATTTTTTTCTCAAAATGAATGCTGTATTCTAATTTTCTTTAAAGGTTATATTTCATTCTTCTCTATAGAGATTGATTTCTATACTATGATTTAAGTAAATTATAAAAAAAATTATTTTGACATTTAAATTTTATTTGAAAAAATTAATATTTTTATCAATTATTATCAAAGTCTGAAAAAATATTTTATTTACTTCCTGCAATACAACTAATGTTAAGGCTTGAAATATCTAATTAGTGACAAAATAATAATTATAATGAAAATTTGAGATGCTGTACTATCCAGGAATTCCTTCTTAGTTACATTTTCCTTTGTCTTCATAGTATAAGGCATTCATTCATTCACTTATGAAATAAGTAAAATTTATTAGGAAATAAGGGTTTGGGTTGATGTAGTCTTCAGTGTTTTATTTTGTTTTTGAACATATTTTTTATTTATAATATTATTTCTTTAACATTTTTTCCTCCAGGGATTTAATGGGTTATTGCCTCAATTCAATTCACTTGAATTCTTCTCTTGTCTAAGTTTATAGAATAAAGAATTTCAGTTTTAAGATTTACAGAAGCCTCAAATTTTAACAAGGTGCCTCTCCAACAGTAAAGATGTGATCTTTCCCCCATAAACCTACCTTAATTAGAGATGAGTTTTATTATTTTATGCTGTACTGTCAGTAAACTTTTAAAAGTACTGAAATTGTAGTTGTAATTTCTTGTATTTGAGCTACGGTGAAACGCACTTAAGACCGACTGGTTTTTTTTTGTACATCTCATCGTCAGTAATATGTACTACATACAACGTTGCAGCACGTAATTTGCTGATGTTATCATTCTCAGATGTTCACTCGAAGATTTTCAAAGATCAGATTTATAATGATACTGATAATAAAAGGCAATAATAATGAAAACTTAAAAAAAAGAGGTATTCCACTAACGTCAGAACGGACTTACAATGGAGTTGTCGGAACAGAACCCAGTTGTAAGTCAGGGACTACTTGTAATTGTAAGCAAGACTATGTATTTATAGGAAAAGTATAGAAATGTTGGGTTAGTTGTTTTAAAAAGATAAACAGTAATGATAACACCAATAAAAATAATAGTAGATACCATTTCTGAGAACTTAAACGCGCCAAGCACCGCACACACATTATCCTATTCTCCCAGGAACCTTGTAGTGACATCCGTAGTTTACAGGTGAGGACACTGACGCTGTTACTTGTCCAGAGCCACACAGCCAGAACATTGGACAAGAATGGGGACAAGAGCAGGACCAGCTACAGAATATGTCGGGCAAAACATAAATGTAGGGTCCCTTGTGCAAAAATTATTAAGAATTTCAAGACGAGGACAGCAAAGAACTAAATCAGGTGCGGGGCTGCATGGTCACACACCCCGACGTCCGCTCTGCTCGGGAGGCTGCAGTGAGGATTATTGCCGTTATGTTGCGTTGGGTGGATTCAGACTCATAGCAACCCTGTAGGACAGAGTAGAATTGCCCCATAGGGTTTTCTAGGCTGTAATCTTTACAGGAGCAGATCGCCAGGTCTTTTTCCGGCAGAGTCACTGGGTGGGTTTGAACCACCAACCTTTTGGTTAGCAGCTGAGGGCTTAACCACTGTGCCAGCAGGGCTTCCTGTAGTAAGGATTAGATAGGCAATATAATAGTAGAAAACGCTTATACGGCACTTTATGTGCCAGGCATTTTCTCACTCACTTTACGAACATTAGCTTATTTCATCTTCACAAACCCTATGAGCTAGGTACTTTTATTATCACCTCCATTTTACAGATAAGAAGACAAAAGGTACAGAAAAGTTAATAACTTTCCCAAGGTCACACAGCTAATAAACAGTGGGAACTCAAATCCAGAAAGTCTGGCTCCAAAGTCATGCTTTTAACCACTACACTGGTACATGTACCTGTCCAGTACACACTTCACACCTGGCCTGGCAGGCACCCTGCTCAGGAGAGGTCTGCATGCTTACTGTTGGCTAGATGTCAGAGCCTGTGCCACGAGCAAGTATGGTATATTCCCCGGTCACTTTAGAACCAGCCTTCCATTTTCAGAGCATAGTGGCATGCTGTTAGTTTGACTTACTTGTGAGACTATCAAAAATCCTAAAAACATTTTTATATACCACAAAAGGTTTTCTTTGAATTTATACCATACATTCTCCCTTAATATCAAATAATATCACTGAACTTATTAAGTTCTGTCAAGGAGAAAATTACTGACTTAGAAACAAACGTTTAAAGCACAAAATGTCTGGATGAGGGCACACTGTCAAAATGGGAAGGGATGAAAACTCTACAATAGTCATTAAAATTTGAAAATAAAACTGAAAAAGGCTTGCAGGTACATTTAGTTTGAGCAATTAATTTCATCTTGTTTATGATTGGAAATTTATGTAAAATAATTTTCACTTATTTGGGAAATGGAACTGGAAGAAGAAAAAAGATACATTATAGTTTGATTTTACTATTAAATGCAGAGGAAAAATTAATATGTTAGTAGCTATTTGGGAACCAGCTAGAATTCTAATTCTGAAGATCCGTTTCTAATTTGAATCGGTGTATGCTTTGCTGTGTATATTCTCAACAACAACAAAATAAAATTAAAAACATAATAATTAAAAAAAAAAATGATGCCCAAACCAATGATGTGACTGTGAATACTGGCATGGCTATGCGGGTCCTACTAGCGGGGTGTCAGCTCTGTGTCAAATTACTGTATAAGTAGTACAAATGTTGTATAAATAGAAAAATTTCTAAAAAGAATTACTGTAAATAGGCAGATATTTGAAAGGGCAACTGACAACAGACATCCTTTCTTCACCATCATCTACTCGTCTTTATCTTGCATATTTTCATAATTTTAATCAAGAAACAACGTTTGGATTGGAATTTATTTATAATTTAAAGTGAATAAAAATTGGCAAAACAAAAAGATGTTTGGAGAATCTTGATTTTTTCTTAAGGGCTCGTCATCACCCTCCTGAGATAAAAGCTGCTGTAACATCCCCAGGTGTCGGGGAAATTAAACTGTCATCATTGGTGATGTTAAGTAATTTCAAAAGTCGTGACTTCGTGAAAAGAAAACTTAGCGCGCTCTCTGCAAAGTTGGTAGAACACTTCAGAATTCCCAACCACGACTTCCTTAATGAGAGTGTGTTCAGCAGTGCCAAAAAGAACTGATGCTTTCAAAGCTAAGTCACATGTATAGCTACATTAAAAAATGTTCAGTGGAACATTGCTGCCGAGAAATATTTACTTCTTTTTGCTAAATGGGCTTCTGTTCACCTTTAAAGGTGTATAGCCCAAAAACAATCCTGTAAAAGCAAACCAAGGTCGCCCTCTGCTGGCAAAATCTCCATTGTTCTCTTAATTTCTCCCACTTTTGGGCATGGACATTTCTTTAAGATATGTTCAAGTCAGTTTTTAAGGAATAGGGTGAAAGAGTCTGAGACTCAGCAACAGGTGGGTGAAAACCAGGAGGATTCTTGTGGGAGGCCGAGGACTTCCTGACAGGAGTTTTGCTCTAAGCAAAAGGTCCTGTGGGCAAATCCCACCTTCATAGCTAACTGCATGGTAAGGTCAGCATGAATCCAGTTCCCACCTGGAAATGGATCCAGTCATCACCTTCATACTTCTCCATCCTTGCCAGCCACTCCAAGCAGCACTCTCTCTCTGACCAAGCCACCTGAAGCTGTTTCAGAGCTCACAAGTTAAAAGGACATTGTCCTTCAGATTGCCAAATAGGCAGACACCAGCCCCTGCTAGCTCTCACTTCCCCCGCGGGTTCGATAATTCCCTGGAAGATCTCACAGAATTCAGAGAGGGTACCATACTGATTCATTACAACCAGAAAGGATACAAATGACAAGACGCATAGGGTGAGATCTTGTGTGGGGTGGGGGTGTCCCAGCACAGGGTTGCTGTGTTCCTAGGGACGTTCAACCCTCCCAAGAGCAGATGTTCTCCCCAACCAGGAAGCCCAAGGAACTTCCATGTTCAAAACTACTGGCCTAATTGCATGGTCACGACTGGGGCCCCACTGCATAATCATGATTGATTGAATCACTGAATGTACACGATTGATTAAATCATGTCCCTGTCCCTTCCTGAGGTTAGCTGACCAGGTGGGGTCTGTGTAGCCCCCACTCATTTGTACAAATTCCCAAATGGTGCCTGGCAGTTTTAAATAACAAAGACGCTTCAACTACCCAAGAAGTTCCGAGGGTTATCTCTCAGGAACCAAGGACAAAAAGGCAACTTATTTTAGGTAAGGCAATCCATTCACCCACAGGTTTGTATCATCAGCTTTGGATGCCTTCAGTTCTCTGTAAATTTTAACTTAATTGACAAACTTAACACGTGTTCCTTTGCAGCAAAGCTATTTACAAAACCTTAAATCAAATTAAAAAAGATAATTTCAAATGAAAAGGCATCAAGACTAAAATTACCAGCATATTCAGTTTCTATTCGTCTCGAGGCATTCATAAATAGTGACCACGGTAAAGGCGGCAGAAAGGGTTACTAGTGTGAACCACGGCCACAACCAAAAGTTAATTTCAATTATTTTTTATTTTTAATTATTTGTCATCTATATCGCATGACTCAGTAATCATACTCATGGATACGGATTCTAGGGGAAAAAAGTGAGGGGATTTCACGCTCTGGCCTCTGCGGAGGTCAGAGTCAGGCTCTGGGGGCAGGGTACTTGCTTTCCAATTCTGCAGCTACTCACCAGGTCTGTGGCTGGGACAGGTCACCCCCGGCCTCCATTTCACTGGCTGTAAAATGAGGATAATAATACCTACCTGATAGCGATTATTGTCAGTTCCAACCCCTTTTAGATAACAATTAGTTCCAGTTCCAGTTCGAACCCCTGCTGATAATTCGCATTTCTAACAAGTTGCCTTTGATTCTGACTTATAGTGACCCTATAGGACAGAGTAGAACTGCCCCATTGGGTTTCCAAGGAGCAGCTGGTGGATTCGAACTGCTGACCTTTTGGTTAGCAGCTGAACTCTTAACCACTGCACCACCAGGACTAACAAGTTCCCAGGCAATGCTAACACTGCTGGTTAGGGACCAATTCTGAGAACCACTAGTAGAGCAGTGGTTCTCAAAATTTATTATACATGAGAATCACCTGCGGACCTTGTTAAACTGTAGATACTGATTCAGTATATCCGGGGGTGGAAATGCAAATTCTTAGCAGGGGTTTGAACCCAAATGAACCAGTTTGAAGCCCTGATTTGAATAACACCCTTTACAGATAATCAAGGAATGGTACCAACCAGTTGCCCTTGAGCTGATTTTGACTCATGATGACCCCACGTGTGTCAGGGTAGAACTGTGCTTCGTAGGGTTTTCAATGGCTGATTTTTCGGAAGTAGGTTGCCAGGCCTTTCTTCTAAGGCACCTCTCGATGGACTCGAACATCTAACCTTTCCATTAGCAGCTGAGCTTGTCAGCCATTTGTACCATGTAGTACATGCAAAAGTAGCTTGTCAATTATATACTCTAAACAGCAGAAGAAGATGGTGCAATGGTTAAGTCCTCTGCTGCTAGCCGAAAAATCGGCAATTAGAAGCCAGCAGCCACTCTGCAGGAGAAAAGACCTGGAAATCTGCTCCCATAAAGACTACAGCCTAGGAAATCCTATGGGACAGTTCTATCCTGTCCTATAGGGTCGCTAAGAGTCGGAACTGACTCAATGGCACACAACAACAACAGCAGAAAGATTTGTAAAAGTATGCTGAATAACCTGTCTTATAGAAGAATCTGTATCATGAGAGAGGCTTTTGGAAGATTCCTTGGGCACGGAGCAATATAATTCAACAGGTATTAATTTATCACTGGGTATCTGTAAGACCGAAGAATTGATGCCTTTGAATTATCATGTTGGCAAAGAATATTGAATATACCACAGACTGTCAGAAGAAGTGTGATGTTAGTGAAGAATACTGATTATACCATGGACTGTCAGAATGAACAAGTCTGTCTTGGAATAAGTACAGCCATAGCGCTCCTTGGAAGTGAGGATGGTGAGACTTCATCTCACGTACTTTGGATATGTTATCAGGAGGCACCAGTCCCTGGAGAAGGACATCATGCTTGGTAAGGTACAGGGTCAGGGAAAAGAGGAAGACCCTTGACAAAATGGACTGACATGGTGGCTGCAACAATGGGCTCAAACGTAGCAACGACTGTGAGGATGGCACAGGAGAGGGCAGTGTTTCGTTCTGTTGTACATAGGGTCGCTATGAGCTGGAACTGACTTGACAGCACCTAACAATCACAACATTTGTAAGACACTGTGCTTGATAGTGTAAATGACATACATAGGAGTAAAACACCAATTTTAAAATCCAGGAAGCCAGGCAAGACAAACATACTACTCTAGGACGCAGAATATCATAAACCCTGAGAGCTTTGTCAGGGTTTTGAGAGTTTAAAGGAGAAATGGTATCAGATGATTCATTTGGGAATAAGGAAAGGTGTCATTGAGGAGGGTGTACTTATCAGAGATGATTCCAAGGTTTTGCTAATAGGGAATTAGGCATCGGGCAGACTTCACTGGCTCCTTGGCTTAATGGCGGGGAGAGCTCTAGTAAGTCACGTTCCCACTCTCAGCCTCACTTTCCTTACCTTATAACATGGAGATTATTAGGGCTCAGATGGAAATTACAGGAAAGGGAGCATCTAAAGCACTCAGCACAGGCTTGTGCACACAGGAAGTTCTCAAAGGGGCTATTATTACTGTCATTATCTAGAACAGAGGTTCTCCATTTTGGCTGTATATTAGAATACCTTGGGGAGTTTTTTAAAAAGATGAATTCCCTGGGTTCCACCCCAGATCAACTGAATCAGAACTTCTCAGAGTGCAGCCCAGGCACCAGAGTTTTTAAAAGCTCCTCCAAGTAATTCTAAACCCCTGATCTAGATCCTTGGTATTCAGCTGTGGTGCTTGCTAGAAATGTCAGTCGTCAGACGCACTCTTGACCTACGAATCTGCATTTTATAACATGATGATCTCACCCATCCTAAAGCTTCCAGCTGATGCCAAAGCTCTTGATACGCAAACACAGAGTAGTGAAAGGATCCAGCATCTGCACCACAAGCTCAAGAGACCCATCCCTCCCTCCTATTTCTTTTTGATTTGTTTTTCTTCAGACATTCCTAAAAGAAGAAAGTAACCGCTCAAGTATACGGATGGGCTGTGTGAGAATAATTTTTTTCCAGTCAATTCTGACTCATGGCGATCCCATGTGTGTCAGAGCAGAACTGCGTTCCGTAGGGTTTTCATGGCTATGACCTTTTGGAAGCAGATCGCCAGGCCTTTCTTCTGAGGTGCCTCTGGATGGATTCAAACGGCCGACCTTTTGGCTAGTAGTAGACAGCGATAATAGGGACTCGAGAGTGATAATAACAGCTCCGGAACATTCCTTTGAAATCTCACGTAGCAAACGTCTTTCACGGATGTTATTTCATTTGAACCTAATTAACAACAGCCCTGGAAGCCAGGCATCACTTTGCCCATTTCAGAGCCTGAAACTGAGGTCCGGAGAGCCCAGGATACTCTGATGGCAACCAGGAGGTCAGTGCAGGGACCCAGGTTAGCCAGCTTACCCCACTCCTAACCAGACTTGTTGCGGTCAAGTCGATTCCGACTCATAGTGACCGTATAGGACAGAGTAGAACTGCTCCATAGAGTTTCCAGAGAGCGGCTGGTGGATTTGAACTGCCAACTTTTTGGTTAACAGCTGAGGGTTTAACCACTACACCACCAGGGCTCCTACGGCACTCCAAGGCAGGGTTAAATCAGCTATTTTCAGGGTTAAATGGCCTAGGCCTTAAATTGGCAGCAATCAGAATCTTACTAGGCTTTTAAACAGGACAACTAATTCACGTGCGAAAACAGCTACTTATCCTCAACCAGCCCGGACCACGAATTTATAAAAGCAGTCGCTTGGCAACTAGCTGCCGACTTCCCCAACTTTCGGCCAATCCAGAAACTGCTGGCACGTGGACTTCCTCTCGGCGTCAACGGCGCTTGTACGCATGTGCAACCGCCTAGCGGAAGGAGAAGCCATTGTCCTCTCCCCTGTCTTCCGGTCGACACAGGAAGTGGCTCGGAGGCGCATGCGCGGTGTCGTCGAGGGAATTGGGGCCGTTTCCGTCGCTGGCGTGAGGAGACCTCGGGCTGTCGGGACCCTTGCCCGCGGCACCTCGCCCTCGCCCCCGCTTCAGAGGCGGTGGCAGGCTCCCTGGTCCTTCCAGCCTCCCGTCTCTAGCCTCCTGCTGCGGCGCGACTCTCAGGTAGGCCCCGTGCCGCCTCCCTGGTTACCTGCCGCCGTGGCGCCCGCGGAGGCCTGGAGCCCCCAGCGGAGTGTGCTTCGGCGCGAGATACTGGGGGACGAGCCGGACTGTTGACCGAACGTCATTAGGATGTCCTGGAGGGGATGTCCGAGCCGGAAAGGGCCTTCGGGGCCCCTTAGGGGCTAACCCCACGTTTATCTGGGGAAACCGAGGCTCCGGGAAGGGGCATACACAATTGATGCCAGTGTTTGTCGCCTCTGCCTAGAAAGCTCTTCCCTATCGCATGTCTGGCTTCTCCCTGGACAGATGTCTCCTTGGAGAGACCTTCCCTAACTAACTGTCCTTCTAAGGGGCCTCTCTCAGTCTCCCGCGCTGACCTGCTTAATTTCCTTGGTATCACTTACCACTGAGTTTGTTTGTTTACTGTCTTCCCACAGAAACTCCGCAGCCTGCTCACTGAGCAAGTGTTTATTAACTACCGGGCGCCACGGGCCAGGCAGTGTGTTGAGGCGCCAGGTGAACAGGAGGGAAGAATCCAGACGCCTCTCTCTTGGAGCTGACATGCTCCTGAGGAGGAGATTGATTGTAAACAAAGAAATTCCAGATGGTATCGAGTGCTCCGAGGAAAACGGGGTGGGGGGGTATGTGCTGGAGGCGGAGATAGGGTAGATTAGGGAGGCAGAGAAGCCTCTGAGGAGGTGAGTTTTTAAAAAATATGTCTAACGGCTTCATTGAAGTACAATGTAACATACCATAAAATTCACTCGTTTAAAGTACGTTTGGACGAGTTTGGGAAATTTTATACAATTGTGTCGTCATCACCACAGTGTGGTTTTAGAACACTTCCATCACCCCAGAAAGTTCTGAGGAGGCAGCTTTTGAATTGGGACCGGAAGGTTGGATGGGAGACAGCCGGTGAGCGGAGGGCTGGCAGGGAGGGAATCCTCCAGGCCGGAGGACAGGGAGGAGGAACACACCAAGGCAGGGAGGAGCTTGCTGTGTTCAGGCTGGAAGAGAAGCCAGTGGAGTCAGCGGGGCTGGAGTGCAGCGAGAGGGGGAGGAGGTCAGCTGGAGCCGTGGATGCACCTTCTGAACTTCTGGAGGGTTCTCAGTGCCCCGCGTAACATGTGGTCTGTACGGCCAAGCTCCTACTTGAGTGACTTTTCCCGAGTGCCAAGCTCTTTCCCCGACGTTCATCCTGACTTGGGGGCTGGGGCAGCGGGACAGGACGGAAGTAACATTTAGTAAGAACTTCTTGTACTTCAGTCACTATGTGTGTGACCTTGCTCAGTTCTGCACTTACTATGTTTGCACTTGCTTATTTTTCAGGAAGCGCTAGGGAAACTCAGGTACCTTCCCAGGATTCTTTGCTGTCTCTCCGTCTGTGCCGTCCTGAGTGTAGAGATGCCATCCATGTTAACCAGTGTGTCACTGAGTTGCTGGGCTCCTCTTGGAGAGGTGACCGACATGGTCAACTTCAGGGTGTAGGAATTTGCTAACCCATAACAGAATTGAAAATGTGGCATCCATGTGTGCGAGCGATCAGGGAATTGTAATACGGAGACATTTTCCTTGGAGGGAAAAAAGAAGGGAATGTTGTTTATTCCACCCACTGTGTACTAGATGATGTGTGCTTTCTGCATCCGTAATCTGATCCTCAGAGCAGCCCTGGAGAAGGTGTATTTCCTGTGTTTGCAGAGCTGGAGAAGAGGCCCAGTGAGATTAGGGTCCCAGCCCTGGTGAGCGGCAGAGGCACGGTTCAAACCCTGTTGGGCTACTCGACTATACCGAAAACCCATTGCCATTGCGTTGATTCCAACTCATAGTGACCCTATAGGACAGAGTAGAACTGCCCCATAGGATTTCCAAGGAGCGGCTGGTGGATTCGAACTGCCAACCTTCTGGTTAGCGGCCGAGCTCTTTAACCACTGCGCCACTAGACTGTTGTACCCAGAAGAAAAACTTGGAGTGGGAGGGATTCTTGCTGGGTAAATGTCCAAAAACATTATTGCTGTGCTGAACCTTTTGGTATCTAAGCAGACCAAAGTGGATTACTCTAAACTTCTCCTACAAGGAAATGGCAAAACCTCTGCCAAGACTGGTTGCTTTTCTAAGTACCTTATGCAGGGATATTGTGAGAAGAAAATGAACTCCCACTGAGCGGGGACCTCAGTGGATGGGGACCTTCTGCCTTGTTTACTGTTGTGGTCCTTGGTTTCTGTAACTATTTAAAGAATAAGCAGATTCTTTAAATAAGCTGGTGACTAAAAAATACTCTGCTGTAGTGAATCAGTGTTGGTTCGTTTATTATGACTAATGTATCATACTAATGTAAGATGTTAATACTGGGGAAACTGGGTATGGAGTATATGGAAACTCTGTGTCCTATCCTCACAGTTTTTCTGTAAATCTGAAACTATTCCAAAATAAGTTTATTTAAAAGATACTCTGATCACTTCTAAAGAGAGATGCCTGGAATCAAGCCATTTAGAGAGTATTTCCCTTTTGTGACTTCTATTTATTTCACTTCTCAATGATATTTATTACTTAAAGAACCTGTTCTTAACATTTTCCATTGTTTTTTAGGGCCAAAATGAGTCTGTTTGGAACGACCTCGGGTTTCGGAACTGGTGGGACCAGCATGTTTGGCAGCACAACCACGGATAATCACAACCCTATGAAGGTGCCATGAAAGCAGGCCAGCGTCTCCCATGTCAGTGACAGGCTTGGGAGCCTCTTCTGGGGCTCCCTTTGTCTAGCCCAGCGTTCTCAGACACTGTGTGTCTCCTGGATTAATGTCCTGTCACCCCCAGCTTGCCCAATCACCAGAATCACCCAGAATGCTTGTTAAACTTATAGATTCCTGGGGCCTGGGCCACAGCTATCAGATCAGAATTTCTGCAGGAGGGGCCCAGGTGATTACTATGATCAGGCACTTTGGAGCAAAAGTAAACTGGTGCAACGCTTGGGGATTAGGGCTGTGGGCATTTTGTTGAGAGTGCTGTTTCTAGTCCTGGCACTGTTAGTACTTCCACGGGCCTGTTTCTCTTTTGAGTAGGAAAAGGCTAGTTCAGTTAGTTCTGGAGCACAAGGAAAGTCCACTATACCGTGTTCAGTGGAAAAGAAAGCAATTTTGAATTGGATTGTAAAGATGCATGCATTTTTAACGTCGACTTTTGCCCCCAGGATATTGAAGTAACATCTTCTCCCGATGACAGCATTGGTTGTCTGTCTTTTAGCCCACCAACTTTGCCGGGGAACTTTCTGATTGCAGGATCGTGGGCTAATGATGTAAGTGCTCCTTAAATGCATGTTAAAATAATATTTCGTTGTACGGTCAAGGTTAGCTTTTTCTTTTTTTAGTTCTACTCCTTCCCAAGCAAATGAAGCACAGTTAAGGCTTATTTGTGGCCTTCTTAAATCAGCTTAGGGGGTGTGAACCCTTCTGAATGGCAGACATCACTGTTCTTACTCTGCTTTTTGTTAGGAAAGCATATTCATATGCATTGCTCAAGATTTTCGACTCTAGTTCACTATCTTTAAGTGTATTCCCAAATCAAACGCAGTGTTCATTGAGAGTGAATTTTAACTCATGATGGTGTACATAAACAAACTTCTCTTTCTGGCACCCTGAAGAGGTTCTTCAGGCAAACTTTCTTCAGCTTTAGATAGAGCACAAATCCTGCCTAGACATTATTGTTAACCACTGTGTAGAAAAAGAAAGATAAAAACTCCAATAGAAAAATAAGCAAGAGTGTGAAGAGGCATCTCACAAAAGGAGTTCCAGTGGCCGGTTAGAGGCCCCTTAAACCATTCGACTTCGTTAGTAATCAGATAAATGCAAATTTAAATGGTTGACATTTTCCCTGTCAAATTAACTAAAATTAAACATTTAAAAGAGTAAAACAGTATTGGCAAGGATAAGCTGGACTTGCAGGTACTGCTGGTAGGTATGGAAATTGGTACAAGTCTTGTAAAGGCAGAATTTATCAGGAATCCTTTGTCTCATTGATCCCCCCTCTGGGACTTGAGGAAATCAGATTATGCACTTTATAAACAGTATCTGATTTAATCTGTATAACAGCTAAAGTAGTATGAACTTATTGTCGTCCCCATTTGATGGATCAGGGTGCTGAAAAGTAAAACCCCTGGTCCAACTTCATGTATCTGAGTGAGCGGCAAAGCTGGGATGCAGACCTCGTGCAGTCTGACCAAGGGCCCGGGCTCCTGGCCACTACCTGATCCTGCCCCTCATAAAGAATGTTATTACTGCATAAAATTGTGCTACCCTAACCCTACTGAAAATTTTGAATAAATTGTAATATCAGTAGTAGTGATGATTTATGGCATGTCGGTACAATAGCATACCGTTTTAAAAGTTCTTAGAAAGGGTCTTACAGTTGTGGCCTGCAGTTTGTGAGGGAGGCAGAGGGGCAGGGGTGGAGAGCTGTTGTGGGAGGAGGGCAGCCAAGGTTGAGCAGGTTTGCTTTTTACGTGTAATTTGTGGAGAAGATTTCAGTTGATTTGCTGCTAAAAATGTTTAAGGACAGCTGTGTTAGAAACATGTTTAATGACAAATACTCTAATGGTGAGAGCGAGAAAGGGTGCATTTATAAAACCGAAGATACTGTATAATTGAGTTTTTTCAAGAAAATACATGTGCATAGAAAGAATATGTGCAAAGATTGAAATCACACTGGACTGTTGATAGTGGTTGTCTGTGGTGGGATTAAGGGAGATTTTTGTTTTCTTGGCACAGTTACAAAATCTCTTAAGTAAAATACATTACTCTTATAATCAGGACAAAATGATACAAAAATTCAGAGTACAGTAATCAAAGAAGAAAGGTTTCCACTTTGGTCTTGATTCTCTGAAGGGTGATGAGTAAGTGACATTCTGTCTCATTTCGTAGATGGGATGAGAACATTGTCTGCAGTATTTGGTACAAGCAGTAGAAGTTGTATTTTTTTAGTGGCTCAGAAATAGGAATGTAGCTGCTTGCATACACTTGTCACTTGCTTTGTTCTTAAAGTTAGCTAATTAGTTTGGTAGAAGTCCATGTACATTTAAATTATACCCTACTAGTTATTAGGTGTTAAAATTATATAGTCTATTGTGAATTGCTTACACCCGTTTGCCTTATTTCTGTAGGTTCGCTGTTGGGAAGTTCAAGACAGTGGGCAGACTATTCCAAAAGCCCAGCAGATGCACACCGGGCCCGTGCTTGACGTTTGCTGGAGTGATGTACGTCTCATCAACTCCTAGTCTTGTCTTCTATTGAGAGTACAGTGTAATTCAGAGCATTTAGTAACCTGAAACACAAATAGCGTGTATGTATACATATTGTCAGGAGCCCTGGTGGCTTAGTGGTTAAGTGCTTGGCTGCTAACTGAGAGGCTGGCGATTCGAACCCACCAGCTGCTCTGCAAGAAAAAGATGTGGCAGTCTGCTTCCGTAAAGATTATAGCCTTGGAAACCCTATGGGGCAGTTCTGCTCTGTCCTGTAGGGTTGCTATGAGTCAAAATTGACTCGTCGGCCAGTGGGTTTGGTTTTGGTTTATACGTATTGTGGGAATTGTAAGTTCTGAATGTAAATAAATAATTTATTGATGTCTTCAGAGAGGTCACAGCCTTGAAAACCCCATGGAGCAGCTCTACTCTGCACACATGGGGTGGCCATGAGTCGGAGTTGGCTCGACGGCACCCCAACGACAACAACGTCAGCATTCTTAGTGTATCAGCTGATGTTCACTTGAATTACTCTCTGAAAGCGTGCAATGCTAAAAGCTTTTTTGGCATAAAAAGCCATTATTTTATTGACAAGTTATCTTGAGCAAGAGGGCAGATAAGATAATTTCTCGAATTCTTTCCTGTCTCTCAATATGCCATGACCTTATGTTGTTCAAAAATTTGACATTTAGTATTCCAGAAAGTAAATCCTGGAAGAAAATGGACCCATTTCTTTTATTAAATGTCTTGGTTTTTCAAAATTCTTTCTCCTCCCTAAATCCCATACATCAGCAGTATAAGCAAATGTGTATAGTTGTTCAGCTTTGAGACAAACTGAGCTAAATTTAAAAAAATTAAAGGGAACCATGTGCCTGCAGCTTTTCAAGCATTTTCTCATTCAATCCAGGCCTGGCTTCACATTTTGGTTCCATCACGTCTAGGTTTTTGACTTTGCCAAGTTAATCTCCCGAGTCTGTTTCCTCATTTAGAAAATGAAGGTGGTAATAATAATAATTTAACACATAATTATCCAGTAGCAATCGTGTGCTGAAGACTGGGGATAGAGTGGAGCTCAAAATAGGCAAACCTTATGCTCATGGACCTCAGGCTTTTTTAGGGAGGGACAGGCAAATGTAGACACAAATAGGAATTGCACATAGTGGGAAGTTGTGACTAAATCTGTGTGTGGTGTCGAGCATGGTGCCTGTCATGAAGTGGTTAAGGGATTTGCCTAAGGGAACACAGCAGATGTGGACTGAGGCTGGGCCCAGATCCAGACCCTCCCAACTCCAGAGCCTGTCTGCCCAAGCAGCCTCCCTCGGAGAGCCCCATGGGGAGAGGAAGAGTGACTGGGAGAAGTGGGAAGGGCGTTGTGGGAGAGGGAACCACTTATGTAATGGTACAGACGTGAAAGTGCCAAGGTTACCTTCGAGGTGTAAAAGCCCAGCCTAGTGAAGGTGATTCTGCAGTCCTCTAAGGACAGGGCTTACCTCCGTGGCCATGGCAGGTAGAACTCAGCACCGCAGGGTGGAGAGGCTTGTGGACATTATTTCTCCCCCCAGGCCTTTTGGTAGGTTGTCCTCTGTCTGCATGTCCATGAGGGCCTGGCTGGCTGCTGCTTCATGGGGGTGGCTATACACCTGGAGACATGAAGGGCGAGTGGGAGGCCGGCATTTTGTAATGACTCTGAGAGCTGGACCGTCGGCCCACTCAGCCCCAAGGCATCACCTCTGTGCGTTGGTATGTCTTTGTGTTTCCAGGGATTTGTAGAGTCATCCTCATAGCTTCATTAATAGAGTGAGGAGCGGGTTTGTCTCTTCTTTCACATGGAGAGCTGGTGACTTCAAATGGGGTGAAATGTTGGCTAGGGGATGCTGGTGGTAAGTCTTGGAGCTGTGAACCAGAATGAAATAGTCCAGGCCAGCGGTTGGCAATCTGTGGTCCTTGGGCCCAGCCTGGCCGGTTGCTTGTTTGTAAATAATGTTTTACTGGAACCCCGCCACACTCACTCTCTTAGGTAAGGCATGGGGCTGCTTTCAGGCTACAGTGACAGAGCTGAGTCATTGCAGCAGAGACCTTTTGACCCACAAAAGCCGAAAATAGGTACTGTCTGTCACTTTAAGAAACAGTTTGCTGATCCCTGGTCTAGACTTTAAGTTCTGTACTTTATTTTTTTAAATTAGCTTGAGCTTTTTCGTATTTGACTACTTTACTTTTGAGTTCTGTATGTAAGTTTTTATTTTTTTAAATTGTTGTACTTTAAGTGAAAGTTTACCGTTCAAGTTAGTCTCTCATACAGAAATTTATACATACATTGTTACGTGACCCTAGTTGCTCTCCCTATACTGTGACAGCACACTCCTCCTTTCCACCCCTGATTTGCTGTGTCCATTCAACCAGCTCCTGACCCTGTCTGCCTTCTCATCTCACCTCCAGACAGAAGCTGCCCATTTAGTCTCATGAATCTACTTGAGCTAAGAAGCACACTCTTCACAAGTATCATTATGTGTCCCATAGTCCAGTCTAATCTTTGTCTGAAGAGTTGGCCTCGGAAATTGTTTTAGTTCTGGGTTGACAGAGAGTCTGGGAGGCCATGCTTTCTGGGGCCCCTCCAGTCTCAGACCATTAAGTCTGGCTTTTTACTAGAATTTGAGTTCTGCACCTCGCCTTTCTCCTGCTCCATCAGGGACTCTCTGTTGTGTTCCCTGTCAGGGTGGTCACGGGTGGTAGCCGGGCACCATCTAGTTCTGGCCTCAGGCTGATGAAGTCTCTGGTGTATGTGGCCCTTTCTGTCTCTTCGGCTAATACTTTCTTTGTGCCTGTTGTGTTCTTCATTCTCCTTTACTCCAGGTGTGTTGGGACCAATTGATGCATCTTAGATGGCCACTCACTAGCTTTTAAGACCCCAGATGCCACTCACCAAAGTAGGATGCAGAACATTTTCTTAAAAAAAATTCGTTATGCTAATTAACCTAGATGTCCCCTGAAAACGTGGTCCCCAGACCCCTGCCCCTGCTACTCTGTCCCTCGAAGTATTTGGTTGTATTCAGTATATATAAGTATTTTAAAAACTGTTAAACGGTGTGCTAATTTTTTAAACCATTCTGTAATTTAGATAGGACCAGTGATGATTATAAAGTGGTGTGGTTGTATTACATGCACTTTAGAATGCTGTTAAATATGAAGGTACACAAAAGTGATTGTGTGTGTGTGAGTGTGTAGAGAGGGAGAGAGAAGAAGAAAAAGTAAATGCAGTTAGATTAGTGAATCTAGGTGAAGGCTCTGTGGGTGTTTATTGGATTATTTTTGCAAATCTAGAAGTTTTATCAAAACATGGAAAATTTTTAAAAGTGCAGAGATGTATGATATGCAGAGAGTGTCCCTGGAGAGTACACCAGTGGCCTGTGGTTTCTCAAACGAGAACCGGGGCCAGGGATGGGAGCCCAAGCCCATCGCCATTGAGTCGATTCTGACTTATAGTGACTCTGTAGAACAGAGTAGAACTGCCCCCTACGGTTTCCAAGGAGTGGCCGGTAGATTCAAACTGCCGACCTGTTGGTTAGCAGTTAGCTCTTAACCACTACATCACCAATAATAAGAGTTTCCAATAATAAGTGTAGAGATTTTATTTGTCTTAGAGTGCCAGATTTTCTCCTCTGTTTTATTTTAGGATGGAAGCAAAGTATTTACAGCATCGTGTGATAAAACTGCCAAAATGTGGGACCTCAACAGTAATCAAGCGATACAGATTGCACAGGTAATTAAAAACTTATCCTCCACAGAAATGCTGAGCAGGGCTGATGTCTTTAATAGTAATTATAATAATCCTCTGTTTAAAAAAAACAGACTCCACCAAATTAACGAGACTTGGGTATACCACAAAGCTCTTGACCGTGAGAAGGGCACCAGTTTTAGAGCCTTTCTCCTTCTGATGGGTACTTCACAGGTGGTTCTGCTGCAGGTCATCCATACATGCCTGGAGTAGGCTTCTCCTGAGGAAGGCATCATAAGGAGTTGGTGACGTGAAAATCTGTAACAGACAGATATTACAAGTGGTCCTTGTCATTCATGTGTTTGACTTTCCAACACACATGTGTGGCTGGCTGCTTACCAACTGCATTAGTCACTCGTTCATGCGATGAACATTTCTTGAGTGCCTGCTCTACGTGGCGCTGTCATCGGGGCCTCAAGATAAAGCAGAGTAAGAGGAAGACTTCGTGCTCCCTGGGGTTTTTATTGCCCGCTGGGGCTATGAACAGATTTTTGTGTGGAGAGTGCTGAGGCGGGAGGAAGACACAAAGCTCAGAGAAGTTAGAGCCGGGGAGTCCAGCCTGGGCAGAGGAATTCAAGAAGTGTTCTCAGAACGGTGTCACATACTGTGAGAGCACTGTGTGTGTTAGAAGCCTCTCCCCAACCTCTTGTTCACGTCCCCTAGTAAACAAAGCTGTGGTGGAGTTCTCTACTCAGTATTCCTGAACATCTCCCCAGGGAGAGGCTTGCTTTGACTCTCACTGCCTAATTACCTTCAAAAACCAAGTTAAAGTGTGTTACAATGGAAGGTAGATAGATGCTGTTACACTAGAGAACACACTGATCGTGGGGAGGGGCTGAAGTGTACTTTGTTTTTGTTTGGTGTGACCTCTATATCTAAATGGAGTCCCTTCTCTTTGAACGTCGAGCGCTAAAGCCGTTGGCACGTTACCACGTTTGCCCTGATTGTGTTGCTTTTCTTTGTTGACAGCACGACGCTCCTGTTAAAACCATACATTGGATCAAGGCACCAAACTACAGCTGCGTGATGACCGGGAGCTGGGATAAGACGTTGAAGGTATAACACACCCTGGAGGGACTGAGTGGCCCCATTGAGATTGACGTTTGTGCTCATGCTTGTTGGACTTGCTCTCAGCAGTGACTTACTGACCCCATTTTGGTTTTAGTTTTGGGATACACGATCATCAAATCCTATGATGGTTCTGCAGCTCCCTGAAAGGTGTTACTGTGCTGACGTGGTAAGGAATTCTCTTAACATTTAATAAGATGCGTTTCCTTTTAAATATATTTCTTTTAAAAAATGAAATATGTATTTTGTTTTCATAGTTTAATATGTGTTCCTTTTTCAAAAACAAAATAAGCGTTTCTTACTTTAAGACATCTTGCAATAAGAGGGTAATCTAAAAACCCCTCAAACTTTAATAATAGATTTGGGAGATATAGTTCCGATTGCCTCAGTCATCTGAAATTGTGGCATTTCTGTGCTTTGTAGCAGGATTACTAAATACTGAGTCTCCAGTGTTTTGCACAGTTGTTATTTGAACATGTGTAGATAGCTCCATGACATCATTAACATGACCATTTGTTCTGCAGGGTGTTATTTTAGAAAATGAAGGAAAGATACACAGGTTTGTCACGTGTATCATTGTGGAAACATACAGAACACCTTTATTGCGTGACAGTAGGAAAACTGGCCATAGCTTTGTGACCTGGTGTGAGGTCTTGGGGAATCGTCTCTGAATGGGGTAGAAACTGAAGAACGTCCCCCCCATTTAGCCTTCAAGTTTTCTAACAGCTGCCCCAGTGACTCTAGTTTTAGTATTTGTCGTGATGAAATAACCGTAGATGCAAATGATTGTTGTTTTATTTAAAATAACGAAACACCGCAGGTGAGCTAACGGGCCAGTGAGACGGGCGGATTGAATGAGCCCTGGGCTGCGGTCATCGGATGGCGTATCAGGCCGTCAGTGTCTGTGTTCTTGAAAAACACGGGCTAATGCTCACTAAACACACTTGGAGGAAAGGGTCACAAATTATACAGAAACACGCGAACACACACACACGTGTAATGCCCAGAGAAAAGGCCGGAGTGAAGTGTGCCAGAACGTTAAGTGGTCGTCTCTGGAGGGCGCTCTGTTCTTCCCTAGTCCTCGCAGTGTTTTCTAAATGTTCACACAGTACTTCTGTCGTTGGTTTTTAAGAACAGATCTCCTAAACATTTATGGAAATTCTACTTTCAAATAAGATTTTTCTAAGTCTTTATGAAACACATCACTGGATTATTAAACTTAAAAAAATTTAGACTTGTTTTTGTGATTAAAAAAATGGATCTAATGCTTTGGTATAAAAAGGCCCCTTCCTTGACTCTGCGTGTGTCTCTGCTGTCCTCCACCCCCCAGATCTATCCTATGGCCGTGGTGGCGACTGCAGAGAGGGGGCTGATTGTCTACCAGCTGGAGAACCAGCCTTCCGAGTTCAGGAGGATAGAGTCACCGCTGAAGCATCAGGTGAGTCAGACGTCAAGTCAAGAGGCATGTAGTTGGCACCTGCTGGATGCAAGACAGCGCTTGCACGTGGAACACAATTGTACTTTCAAAAACCAGTGAATGTTTTTAAAGGTGGTATGGGCAGGTGGGTGGTTCTCCGGGCTTGGCCAGGTATTCACGACTAGAAGGAGGAGATGAGGACCCTGAGCTGGCTTCTCCTTTGGGTGACCACTTTTGTCCCCATAATGCCCTAGCACTTCTCCTCTCCCCCAGGAGTTTGGGAGCGGACCCTCGCTGGAGATTCTTGTGTAGAGTTCAGGAACCCCTTCTTTGAGCCCCTCAAAGGTGAATCTGGATGGCCAGCAAGTTCACGGTTTAGAAAGTGCCGCCACGGCCCCTCCCACTTGACCTTTGTTTCCCTGTGCAGTGGGCCAGGCAGACAGGCCTTCCCTTTCCGGCTGGGGGTGCAGAGGCGCAGAGACTGGTGACTTACAGGGGGGCACCCACCGGGTCAGTGATGGCTGCCAGTCAGGGAGTGTGTCTTCTGCAGTCTGGTCACCGTGGGGGGCCCGGTGGGAGTAGGAGCTGTTGAGAACAGCTAGTTATTACAGAGGGAGAAACTGACACTCGCTGGAGGCATAGACGTCTCTTCTTTATCAAACATCTATTTGAGGGACACGTTTCTGACTTTTCTAAAAACCAAAATGGGATCAAAATTATTTACCTTTATGTTAGTTGTGAAATGTTGTGTTTTACCTCGTGATAACATTTTTTTTTTAACTGTAGCATCGGTGTGTGGCTATTTTTAAAGACAAACAGAACAAGCCGACTGGTTTTGCCCTGGGGAGTATTGAGGGGAGAGTTGCTATTCACTACATCAACCCCCCAAATCCGTAAGTGGGACTCCATCAACTTGTACATTTTCACTTTAGGCTGGTTTTTTTTTTTTTTTAAAAAAAAAAAAAAAACCAGAAAACTTAGATGGGACTTTGTTTTTCAGCGCCAAAGATAACTTTACCTTCAAATGTCATCGATCCAACGGAACCAATACTTCAGCACCTCAGGACATCTATGCGGTGTGTTTTATTTGTTTTATTGTGCCTTAGGTGAAGGTTTACAGAAGAAATTAGTTTCTCGTTAAACAGTTAATACACATATTGTTTTGTGACATTGGTTGCCAACCCCACGACGTGTCAGCACTCTTTCCTTCTTGACCTTGGGTTCCCCATTACCAGTTTTCCTGTCCCCTCCTGCCTCCTTGTCCTTGCCTCTGGGCTGGTTGTGCCCATTTTGTCTCGTTTTGTTTTGTGAACCTGTCTAATCTTTGGCTGAAAGGTGAACCTCAGGAGTAACTTCAGTACTGAGTAAGAGGGTGTCCGGGGGCCATACTCGCAGGGTTTCTCCAGTCTCAGGCCTGTAAGTCTGGTCTTTTTTTGTGAGTTAGAATTTTGTTCTACATCTTTTTCCAGCTCTGTCCGGGACCCTCTGTTGTGATCCCGGTCAGAGCAGTCGGTGGTAGCCGGGCACCATCTAGTTGTGCTGGACTCAGTCTGGTGGAGGCCGTGGTAGATGTGGTCCATTAGTCCTTTGCACTAATCTTTCCCTTGTGTCTTTGGTTTGTTTTTCATTCTCCTTTGCCCCAAACAGGGTGGGACCAGTGGAGTATCTTAGATGGCTACTCACAAGCTTTTAAGACCCCAGATGCTACTCATCAAAGTAGAATGTAGAACATTTTTTTAATAAACTGTTACGCCAATTGAGCTAGATGTCTCCCAAGACCATGGTCCCCAGCCCTCAGCCCAGTAATTTGGTTCCTCAGGGAGTTTGTTTGCGATATGTTTTAGAAGCTTAACTTTGACCTTGAAAAGGCAGCTAGAAACCAGACTTGGAGATGGGGTCTGAAACGTGGGGCAGATAGGATTGCGCTCTCGTTGAAGAGCTGCGGAGCTGCGTGCGTCATGGTGGGAGGGCAAGCGCTTGTGCTGCAGGCTTCTGTTTTCAAGACCATGGCGACTTCATTCTGTCTGCTTCTGAAGGCGAGTTTACAGCGCTGTGTGGGAGACTCTTGTGCCTCCTTTTATGAGTGTTTGTAGACAGTGTACATAGGTAGCTGAGACAGAAGTTGCTGTTTGCAAAAAAGAAAACGTTGTTTTCCTGGGGCATGTCCTTGGTGTTCCGAGTACACACACATCAGTTCCTGCGACTTGTGCTCATCACAGAGATGAGCAGTAGCTCTGGGCTGGCAGTGGGTTCAGGAAGCACGGCTCACTTCCCTTGTGCCCAGACGGCAGCCACTCTGATGAAGTGATGGTCGTGCGTTTGGTTTCTAGACCAGCACAGGGCGCGTGTGCTGGAGAATCCTGAGTTCGCCGCTGTCTCTGCTCTGCTTCTCATTGTGCGTCAATCCTCGCAGGTCAACGGGATCGCGTTCCATCCTGTCCATGGCACTCTGGCAACGGTGGGGTCTGATGGCAGGTTCAGCTTTTGGGACAAAGACGCCAGGACAAAACTAAAGACTTCAGAACAGTTAGACCAGCCAATATCAGCCTGCTGCTTCAATCACAATGGAAACATATTTGCCTACGCATCTAGCTACGACTGGTCCAAGGTGAGGACCCACAGGCCCACCTGGGCATGCTCCGGCTCCAGAGGCGGGCTCTGTCAGAAGACCTGGGTTGGGATCCTGACTGTCAATGCTCGTTGTCCGTCCTTGGGCCAGTCAGGTTCACCTCCCTGTGGAAGGAGTCATCAGGGCCTTCCTCATAGGGCCAGGAGGCTCGGTGACGGACCACACCTGCAGCTGTCCACATAGAGCCGGGCCTAGCTGGCTGTCCATCGGTTCCCCAGCTCAGCTGAGGCAGGACAGAAACACAGTAAATTGCGCACATTTAAAGTTCCAACACCTGCAGATACCCAGGAAACCATCACCATAGTCAGCGTGACACCCGTTTTCATCTTCCGCAGACAGCCATCGATCTGCTGTCCCTGTAGATTCGTTTGCTTTTGTACCATTTTATATAAATGGAGTCATCCTCTGTGTGCTCCTTCTTTGCCTGGCTTGTTGCACTCAGCTTAGTTGGGAACTCACCGCCCTGCTGTGGTCGCCAGTAGTTGGTGCCTCTTGCTGCTGCTTAGGTTCCCAGGTAGGGACGGACCGCCACTTGTTCACCCACTCACCTGTTGAAGCCAGGCGCTCCATTTGGGGTTGTAGCTGGGTTGGGCCTGTGTGGCGGCCTGAGGCCCCGGCCCCCGTGGACTCAGCAGTGGCTGCCTCCAGAGGCTCAGCCCAGGGGCTGCAGCAATGCTCTGTGTCTCGGCTGACATCCCACCCCCAGGGCTCTGCAGTACAAGCACTAAAAAGGCCGTGGGAAGTGGAAAGAAGCTAGAAAGCTTATCGCTTTAAATGCTCTCACAAACTGAAGTAATCGAATTTATCCAGCCAGTCAATATCAGCTCACATAGTTACTTAAATTCTAATGTTTTGTATTTAACAAAACAAGCTCAGGAACTGTGCACTTTTTTAGTTCAGGCAAAGAGTGTACAGTGATGTCTCACATGAAATCCGGGTCACCTGTGGTTGCCGTGTCACTGCGGCACCGTGAGGCCGAGTGTACCAGGGCCCCGCCCCACCCTGCTCCAGGCCTCATGGTCACCCAGGGGGCGCCCGCCCGCCGGGGCACCTGCCTGCCACGCTCTGCTCGCTCATCTGTCTTGCCCACCCCTCTCGGCTGTCTTTCCGAATCTCAAATCTGATCACGTCACTGACCTACTTATCTTTGTGGCTGCCACCCCTTTTCCCTGTGGGACATTCATGGCCCCATACAGCTTGGCTTCGTCCTGATTTCCTGGCCTCCACCGGCGTTAGACAGCACCCCTCCCCCAACACAGACACGAGCAGACATGTCAGCCACCACCTGTCCTTGTGCTCACTCCCTGCGTCTGGGCGGGGTGGGCTGTCCTGGCTGTGCCCTCGCCCCATGATGTCTCAGATCAGATGTCTCTTCTGTGAAACCTCAAGACAGAGCTGGCCCTGCACTGCCCTCCCCAAGGGAGCGCGGGGTACTCGTCTTTGTAGGACAGTGGCAGAAGGTTCAGAGGGCTTTAACACTGAACGCACAGGTACGTAAAAGGGTGCCATGACAGATTGTCCCCCCAAGTAGGACACTGGGAACAGGCTGACACCAGGTCCTCAGCCTTTTCTCTGAGGACTGGGGTTTTGTTTCATATTTATTTCTCTCCATCATTGTTGTGGGTTTTTATTCCCTTAGAGGGATTATGCTTCAGCACGTGGCCCAGGACTTGGCTTATAAAACGTGCCCACAAAATGTTAGCCACAAAGTCCTTTTTATTAATAAGATTACGGGTTTTTCTTCCTCTTTAGGGACATGAATTTTATAACCCCCAAAAGAAGAACTACATTTTCCTGCGTAATGCGGCCGAAGAGCTGAAGCCCCGGAACAAGAAGTAGCGGCTGCGCCTTCTGAGCGGACCTGTGTTGGGTCCCCTCCACTCTGCCTCGTCTGTGTGAACATGGAGGGCTGTCAGCCGTGGCCGTGGACTTCACACCTGAGGGAGCGTGGGCCTGCTCAGCAGTCCCGCCCTGCCTGCTGCAGCCACTCACCGTCTCTATTCCACTGCCCGTTACAGGTTTTCCCGGAACTTCAAGGGGTCAAAGTGATTGTGGGAGCTAGACTCCTGTGGGCCGCCGCCTGCCGGTGATCCCAGGGGCTGCACTCAGCCCGTGTGTGTTAGAGGGGGCGGGAGGCGCCCTGTGAGCCCTGTACTGTGTTTTGTAATAAAATATTTTGAAGACTGCCTGCCAAGCCCTCTCTGTCCATCCCTTCTCTCTCACCACCTGTCTCCAAAGTGTTGTCCTGCTCCCCATCAACATGGGGTTTTAATTTGCGATTTCAGGCGCCCTCTGGGAAGTGCAGACATCTTGCACCCGGGGAGAGGAGGGATCCCGAGTGATGGGTGTCCCTGCCGTGTGGAATCTCCGACGGCTTCTCCAAGTGTTGGCAGACCACGTTTGATCGGGTTTCCTCTCTCGCATCCTTTATTCCTGTCTGGAACGTTGCTGTTCTTCTTGGCTCTGCTGGGCAGATTTCCTAGGGAGGCTGAAGGTGGCCCGTTCTCGGCTCTGCTGGGCAGATTTCCTAGGGAGGCCAAAGCGGCCCCGTTCTTCGTGCTGAGTGGTCAGGCCCTTAGGAGCAGTAACTTGGGTTTTGGTGCATTTTTATTCCATGAGTTTAAAATTCCTGATCGATAAGTATCTGAACTGAAATTCAACTTCACACCTGATTTTTAGTCTTGTATTTTTATCCTGTAATTGGGGCTGGTATAGAAATTCTTGATGAGTGTAAAAGCTGGCATTGATACAGTGTAATATGTGTTTGCCTACTCATAAAAAAGCAATGACAGTGTAATTTTCCACTGGAAGACACCGCCTGCATGCAACTGCTTAAATTCTTTGGTAGTCAGGTAGCACGTGATTTCAGCCCCATTCATTCTTTGGCCCTTTCTTTTAGCCTAACGGTATCTTTTGAGAGAGAAAAAAACAGGTGCATTAGAAAAACCTGAGTTTCACAGTAACTGTTGACAGCTAATTTTCCACTTCACTTCTGAATCAGCCGTGTGGTTTTATGATCTGTGTTTATGGGCAGGACTAGCAGGCAGAGAAGGTTGCTGCAGTGAGATTAAAGCTGGGTCATCTCAGCCAGCTCACGTTCCAGGTGGGAGTAAACTTACTGCTTTCATTCTTTTTACCAGCTAGTGACTGGTGATGGTTGAAAACGACAACTGAAGAGGCTCAATCATGGCACTTTTAGAGTGTTCTTTTCCAGGACTGGGTCTCGCCAAGGGACCCTTATAATTGGTCAGTTTAAAACATCTGCCTAAGTCCAAGGTTGGACTGCCAGAACCCAGGAGTGAGGGAGCGGTTGCGGACCGGCGGGATGGGATCCTGGCAGACGGGCAGGCGGCCTTCCTCTGTGCCCAGCAGCTAAAGCGCAGAAACCAGCGCACATGCTGGTGATGAACCCGAGCTACATCCTGAAATCATCAAACTTAAGATACTTATGTTTTCTAAAAAGCATGTGGAGTCTTTGACTTCCACGTACATATCTAGTCCCTCCAGGCACCTGCACTGTGCATTATATGCAGCAGGACTTGATGATATTAGTAAATTGTTTTTAAAATAATGTGTTTTCGGTGAAAGTTTACACAGCAAATTAGGTTCCCAGTTGACAATTTCTACACAAGTTGTTCAGTGGCATTAGTTACATATTTCACAAAACGTCAACATTCTCTTTAATTGCATCCTGGTTCTTCTATTCCTCTTACTCTAGTTTCCCTGCCCCCTCCCCCCCCCCAATCTTCTCTGCTTTAGAGTAATTGTTGACCTTTTGGTCTCATACAATTTTTTTTTTTTTTTTTTTAATTCTGCTGTAGGTGAAAGTTTATAGCTCAAGTTAATTTCTCATATATAAATGTATACATGTATTGTTATGTGATCCTAATTGCAGTCTCTATAATGTGACAGCACACTCCCGCTTTCCACTCCAGGTTTCCTGTGTCCATTCAACCAGCTCTTGTCCCTCTCTGCCTTCTCATCTCGCCTTTGGGCAGGAGCTGCCCATTTAGTCTCATGTATCTACTTGAACTAAGAAGCACACTCTTCACGAGTATTATGTTTTATAGTCCAGTCTAATCTTTGAAGAGTTGGCTTTGGGAATGGTTTTAGTTCTGGGTTAACAGAGAGTCCGGGGGCCATGTCTTCCAGGGTTCTTCCAGTCTCAGATCACTAAGTCTGGTCTTTCTATGTGAATTTGAATTCTGCACCACACTTTTCTCCTGCTCCATCAGGGACTCTCTGTTGTGTTCCCTGTCAGGGCAGTCGTTGATGGTAGCCGGGCCCCATATAGTTCTGGTCTCAGGCTGATGGAGTCTCTGGTGTATGTGGCCCTTTTTGTCTCTTGGGCTAATATTTTCCTTGTGTCTTTGGTGTTCTTCATTCTCCTTTGCTCCAGGTGAGTTGGGACCAATTGATGCATCTTAGATGGCCGCTCACTAGCTTTTAAGATCCCAGACGCCACTCAGCAAAGTGGGATGCAGAACATTTGCTTAATAAACTTTGTTATGGCAATTGACCTAGATGTCCCCCAAAACCATGGTCTCCAGACCCCCATCCCTACTACTTTGTCCCTTGAAGTGTTTGATTGTGTGTTCAGGAAACTTCTTAGCTTTTGGTTTAGTCTAGTTGTGCTGACTTGTATTGTGTGTTGTCCTTCCCTTCACCTAAGATGATCCTTGTCTACTATCTACTTAGTAAATTCCCCTCTCCCTCCCTCCCCACCCTCGTAACCATCAAAGAATGTTTTCTACTGTGTTTAAGCCTTTTCTTTCTTGTAATAGTGATCTCCTACAATATTTGTCCTTTTGTGACTGATTTCACTCAGCATAATGCCTTCCAGATTCATCTATGTTGTGAGATGTTTTCGCAGATTCATCATTGTTCTTTATCGCATAGTATTCGATTGTGTGAATGTACCCTAATTTGTTTATTCATTCGTTTGTTGATGGGCACCTAGGTTGTTTCTGTCTTTTTGCTATCATGAATAGTGCTGCAATGATCGTGGGTATGCATATATCTGTTCGTGTGAGGACTCTTATTTCTCTAGGATATATTCCAAGGAGTGGGATTGTTGGATCATATGGTACTTCTAGCTTTTTAAGGAAGCACCAGATCGAGTTCCAAAGTGGTTGTACCATTTTACATTCCCACCAGCAGTGTTTTAAGTGTTCCAGTCTTTCCACAGCCTCTCCAACATTTGTTGTTTTATGTTTTTTTGATTAATGCTAGCCTTGTTGGAGTGAGATCTCACTGTAGTTTTGATTTGCATTTCCCTAATGGCTAATGAGCATGAGCATTTCCTCATGTGTCTGTTAGCCGCCTGAATGTCTTCTTTGGTGAAGTTTCTGTTCATATCCTTTGCCCATTTTTAATTGGGTTGTTTGTCTTTTTGTTGGTGAGGTTTTGCAGTATCTAGTAGATTTTAGAGATTAGACCCTGATCAGACATGTCATAGCCAAACATTTTTTCCCAGTCTGTAGGTTGTCTTTTTACTCTTTTGGTGAAGTGTTTTGATGAGCATAAGTGTTTGATTTTACTAAGGTGATGTTATTCTATGTGTCTAAGGCTACTTGATAGAACGCATCTGCCATATGTGTAGGAATTTGGGAAATGATTTTTTTTTTATTTAACCAAAATTGGCGTTTTCTTTTAAGTAAGGGCTTTATAGGAAATGAACCCGACGCATGCTCTCATGAGCTAGAGTCTAGTAGGGAGCCCGAACGTAGGAACATCGAAGGCAGCATTTTTCGAATTAAATCATGACCCATTCAGAGGTTGTGAAATGAATGTAGTGTTTCTTACTAGCTTTTTTTTTTTTTTTTTTAAATGGAGCCACAAACGAGTACAGAATATATTAGAGTACACCACACAACAGCAACGGTAAGTATTGTTCTGCAGGACTTGGTGTTTCCATCCTGTGTGTATGTCTGTGTCTTATCTATTTGAATAATATCTTAGGCTGGGACTTTTCTCTGACTCTTTACTTCTTGTGTGGCTTAGGATGAGTTCTTGAGGTTTAATAACCTTCCACGAATACTAGCCATGGGTATCTCTCTGCATTCTCCGCAAAATGAGAGGGCTACTTCCCAAATCAGCCAGGGAAAACCCTGTGGACAACAGTGGGCCGATCCATAACTGATTGTGGGAATGGTGCAGGACCAGCAGCGTTCCGTCCCGTTATGGATGGAGTTGCCATGAGTCGGGGGCCATCTCGACAGCAGCTCACAACAACAACAAATCATATTGTTTATAATATGACATTTGAAATATCCATATAACCTTCCATCTAAGAACATGAGCTCTGGAGTTGGCCTGCCTGCCTGCACGACCCAGCTCTGTCACGTACCAACTTTGCAGCCTTGAGCATGTAATTTAAACCTTGCTGAGCCTCAGTGTCCTCATCTGTAAAATGGGAGATATTAAAAGCAGCTATTGTCAACGATTGGTACGTGGGCATTCAGCATTAAAGCACGTAAAGCGTTTCAGTGGTTGGCCCATAAGAAGTACTGCCCGGTGGGATGGTGTCCGTGGGAAGTTCCCTGTTCCATGGGACTCTGCTGTCAGTGTACGATCCCGGACAAAAATGCCTCTAGACTGGGTGGCCATAAGCTCTAGGTTGTCTCTGAGGGGTTCCTGCAGGGGAGGCTGTGTTTCCCTTGGGCCAGCAGATGGCACCAGTGACCCAGCACCAGCGTTGGAGCCATGTTCTGTGTCGTTCAATTTTAGACTTGAACGTATTAAAAGAAATTCTGAGTTGGTCGCCCTCCATTTGCTGCTGTTACTAAGTTTTAAAGATATTCAGAAAGTGAAATTGAAGGATTGTTTATGTTTAGAAAACATTGATAGGGACAATGTTTCAGAGATCAGATTATTTAAATAAAGAGTCCTCACTGGTTTCCTTGTGGGCCGTAGAAGCCACTATTGGTATGGGAGCTCTGAGCGAAGGCTCACTCTTCAGCAGCCCTGCCTGGTGTGGTAGGAAAGGTTGTTGTCGTGTGCCGTTGAGTTGATCCTGACTCATAGTGACCCTACAGAGCAATGTAGAACTGCCCCATAGAATTTCCAAGGCTGTAAATCTCTGCGGAAGCACACTGCCACATCTTTCTCCCATGGAGAGGCTGGTGGGTTCGAACCTCTGACCTTTTGGTTTGCAGCCAAGCGCTTAACCATTTCGCCACCA